TGAATTAATAATCAGTGCTATGCCAGCTATTCATGATGCTAATTTGAATTTTGACATAGCACCTCTCCCAGAATAATTTTGGTTTATTCGCATTCTCATTTCCATCATCTCTTGGTGAGGGACAAGTTACATGGAAGGTGTACTTAAAATAAGTTAACCCACACATTCATCCATTCAACAAATGTTTAGTGAGAGACTACTACGTGCTCAGCATAGCACGGGGTGTTTGGTATACATCGTTGAATAGAATGAAGATCCCTTCTTTCATGGCACTTACATAAATCAATAGATCGACTTATTAGAAGGTAGTAAATACTAGAAGGAAAAGGATAGGCAGTGAGAAAGATGGGGCAAGGACAGGCAAGTTGTAGCAAGCGACCAAATGATAAGAAGTAGGACGAGTAAGGGGTAAAGTAGTAGGAGAGGGTGGTTAGCGAGATACTGAGTGTGACATTACATAAAAGGCTGTGTGGGTCACTGAAAACACTTCGGCTTTCCCTGAATGCAATAAGGTTCTGAGAAGTTATATGATCTGAGTTATGTTTTAAAGAATCACTCTGGCCATTATGCTATGAATAGATTTTTTTTTAAAGATTGTATTTATTTATTAATGAGAGACACAGAGAGAGAGGCAGAGACACAGGCAGAGGGAGAAGGAGGCTCCCTGAGGGGAGCCCGACGTGGGACTCGATCCCAGGTCTCCAGGATCACGACCTGAGCCCAAGGCAGACGCTCAACCACTGAGCCACCCAGGCGTCCCTATGCTATGAATAGGTTACTGGGGACAAGAATGTAAGCAAAGGCTATGTTGGGCAGCACTATAGGAATCTTGGCCAGAGATGATGATGGCTTGGATGAGGGTGAGAGCTGTGGGGAGTGATCATAATATAAATTAAAACAAATCAAGGTTGTCCTAGTATAAGGTAAAACAAATCAAGAACTGTCTGGTAGTATGAAACCCCAGCTCTGCTGCTGTGGACGTGGAATCTTCAAAGGCCTCTCCCAACACACGTGTCACTCACACTTTCTTCATGCTGTGACTGTTCTCTGGCAACCACCATCCTAGGCTTCAGGCACCGAGATGCTCTGAGGGAGAATGAGATGGCCATGCATACGGGAATAAGGTCCAGCTCCTGAGAATTTTTTTTTTTTTTTTTTTTTTAGCTGAGAAACTATTTTTCATCCCAGGAGCTGTCGGTTCCACAACAGAGATCCCTGCTTTCATACTCACGGGGAACCATTGGAAGGAACGCGATGTTCAAACATCGGGGCATTTTTCAAAGGCTTGTTATTCGGTCTTAAATCATTCTACATGTAGAGTGTGTCAGTCTGCTATAGATTGTTTTTTTTTTTTTCCAGTGTCTAGACTCCTTTATTTTCAAATAGGCCTCTCTTCCAGATTCTGAGGAAAATGAATACTAGAAATGTTTTCCGCAATCTTGAGGACATCATTTTCTTTCTCTTTGATTAACTGCTGAAAAAGAGCCCACCTCTCCCTAGGAACAAGCAATAACATACGGGTACAGAACATTTTAAATACATATAAAGGAAGAGACTATAGTCTATAGAAATAGTTTTATTACGACTTATATCCAGGATATGTTACTGGATATACAAATCTATAATTCTTATATACACTATGATATTGTATATTTAATTTGTAATATCTTGTAAAGTATTGTAATATTTAATATTTAATTCTTCTATCACTTGGTTCAAATCACTCTAGAGTTTTCTGCAAATATAGCTTGTTACTGGTTTTATATTTGTATGACTCAAAAGGCCCATTATTGAAGGCTTACGAAGCCAAGGGATAAAGAGGAGTCTGGTAGCTGTTTACTAAGAAAAAAAGAGAAAGAGAGTGAGCGAGAGAGAAAAATTCTTGTGAAGTCTTGAAATTAGCCATTATTTTGGCTCGGGTCTAATTGAAGAAGCACACTCTGGACAGAGAATGAACAACTCTGGAGACTCTGTTTCACTTGGGTAGTTTATATGTCCAGTGGCTCATAACACTCTTAACTGCTCTGAATTAAGATCATTGTCTCCATTTCTCAGGTGAGAAAACAAGACGAGAGAGGTTAGGTAATTTCCCCAAGTTCACAGAGCTAAGTAAATGATGAACGTGAAATGTGTACTTAAGTCTGGGATTCTGAATACTATGTTCTCTCTCCCATGCCATGTGATTCCCTCTAAGTAGACAGTTAAGATTGAAGAAATTTAAACTGTACTTGGTAAGCGAGAAGGAAAGTCCATATAACACCCAGTTGGCCAACACCATAATTTCAAAAGGAGGATCTTTGTTATCAATTTGAATATAAGGATTTTTGTATGGTAAAGCAAGAAAAACTCTTAAGTCATGAAATTCTTTTTTCACTTGCCTCAGTGAAGGAGTTATTTAAATGTCTAATATAGATTTTTTATGTTTCAGAAAGATTTTCTTGATTCTATCACTCCTGCCCAGAAACCTTTCTTTAAAAAAAAATAAATTAAATTTAGTTAACATATAGTATAATGTTAGTTTCAGGGGTAGATTTAATGATTCGTCAGTTGCATACAATACCCAGTGCTCATCCCATCACGTGCCCTCCTTCATGTCCGTCACCGAGTTACCCCATCCCCCACCCACCTTTCCTCCAGCAACCCTCAATTTGTTTCCCATAGTTAAGAGTCTCTTATGGTTTGCCTCCCTCCTTTTTTGTCTTATTTTATTTTTCTTTCCCTTCCCTTCTGTTCATCTGTTTTGTTTCTTAAATTTCACGTATGAGTGAGATCATGTGATATTTGTTTTTCTTTTCTGACATATTTCACTTACCATAATACCCTCTAGTTCCATCCACATTGTTGCCAATGATCAAATTTCATTCTTTTTGATGGCTGAGTAATATTCCATTGTGTATGTAGACCACATCTTCCTCATCCATTCATCAGTTGATGGATACCTGGGCTCTTTCCATAGTTTGGCCATAGTGGACATGGCTGCTATAAATAGTGGAGTGCATGTGCCCCCCACCCCCCCCCCGTTCAAATCACTATTTTTGTGTCCTTTGAATAAATACCTCATAGCCGCACAGAAACCTTTCAACCAGTCTGTAATAGTCGCTAAAAAGAATCTAGAGATAACATCATAATCGTTTTCCTTCCCTCTTCTAGCTAGGTAAAAAATGTATTTTTTAAACAAATAGTTGTTTGAATTAAGGCCCATTTAAAAAATTCTACACATTATTTTCTCCATCATAGCTAATGTTTATGACCTTGGTCTAAATTCAAAGGCCTATCGATATTTAACACATCCTGTATCTTCTTTAGTCATGGTCAATTTTATTCCCACATTCTTTACCTGTAATTTAAAACAAACATATTTGAAGTAAGAAAGCTCTTTGGAAGTTGTACTTGTGTAAAACCATCTTTTGTTATGTTTCCCGTGATGATTTGCAAAATACGTGTATCTCATTAAACTATAAGGAAAAAAGTAATCCATGGTCCAAAATTTTGGAAATTAATTTACTAAATTTACCTTCTTGGATATTTTAAGCAAGTATATGCATATTAAAGTATCTCACAAGTCGTCTAGTGAGGAACCCCAAATTTTCTTGACCATGGGATATCTTGCCTCTTTTTTCATCGTACTCCGTGGAATAAACTTCAGCAAATGCTGGTCTGTGGAAGTGTCTGCCTTACAACAATGATGCCCTCTATATCTGAGTATTAATCAGATGATTGTCCTATGGTGTTCTAATACTTTTTAAAAATATTAGTGATACAAACTTGAAATATTATTCTGCTAAGCTTATGAAAGTAGCCACACCTAACATAGAGGGCTTTGTGAATGTAGGGATATAAAACTGTACAGTTTAATTGTAAAATATTTATGATTTTATATTAAACTGATAGATTTCTTCTATACTTTTGCACTTTGACACCGTTGCGTTTCTTGAGAAGTTCTATCTAGCTGTATTTTTACTTGAACAATGTTAACCAAATGGAGACCAGCTGTGTATAGCTTGGCAGGCATGCCTAAGTGTAAGCAAACCACAGTTGTTCCTTTACGTATGTTCAGCATCTCTAACCCCTTGAAGGATAAGCTCTGTGGAATTCACTGCTAGAATAGTCACAAACATCCTTCTCGTTGTATGGGCCTCCAATAGTACAGGAACTTCAGAAAATAACTGTCTAGGCTTTTAAAAATACAGAACATGACCATAAATGATATATAATGCCAAACTAGTCAATTATTTAGTTACCTATTTTAGACTAGTGGGCCACATCTAAGAATCTTAATAATTATCTTATTCAGAAACGTAGCTGATTCTCTGTTAGTAATATGAACAAAATATTCAGAACAATGGAATCCAATTCTAGGAATTCTTAAGAATTAGAATTTTGCTAAAAGTCCCATAAGTAATTGTGATGCACACTTAATTCTGCTTAGAAGCCTTTTGTGTGGATCAAAGATGCTTAAATTCTTAGAGACTGAGAGTTTAAAGTAATTGCAAATTTGATAGCTCTGTAAGGTCATGGACTTGTATGATTTATATTGCATTTTTTCCCAGGATTTTCATAGGACCTAGCAGGTTGTAGGTACTCCGTAAAGCATGCTAGAAGAATAAGTGAATGAATCAATGAATGACTAGTGGCAACTGTCAGTGTTTTCTGTTCCCTCTGAGCAGGATCATGATAAAGTTCCCAACAAGAATAACTTCAGATTCCTAACTGGCTCATGATTTTTCTGGTTGGAAATCTGGATCTTGATAATAATCAATGTTAAGAAAATGCACTAACTTGTATGGTGATTATTCTTGTATTGCAATGGCATTCTTACATTTCTATGAAGATTGTTCTGTATTAAGAACTTTTATTCATATAAATCCCCCTTAAATCAGTGACAATGATTTATGTGGAGACAAGGTGACAGTGTTTTTTGCTTTCAAATCACAGTGTGGTGTGATGATATCACCAGCTCTGATTCTAAATAATCGTGCCTGCTTTTCTATCCTTTGCAGCCAGCTGTCGCAAACTCTGATATCATGTTTATTAAAATTCATATTCCATGGGACACACTGTGCAAGTATGCAGAGAGGCTAAATATCAGGATGCCCTTCAGGTACTTTCAAATTTTACTTCATTCTATCTCAATGTAATTAAGATGAATCCGTTGTTGTTGTTGTTGTTTTTTCAAAACTTCAGAACAATAAATGTAACTCTTTCTACAGAGCTGCTTCTTCCAAATGTTAGAATATCTTGGACACTTTTTTTTTCCTTCTAATATGTTTACCAAATGTGATAAACCTTGTGGTCCCTTGGATGTTTTATGCCATTTTTAGGTGGACTTGCCAAGAGGGAGGGAAAAATGGTTGTTTTCGGAATTTGACTTACAGTTCCCAAGATTAGTCTCAGTTCTTATTCCATATGGGTGGTAAAAACTCTTCTGTCTCTGTGAAAGTGTGTGTAGCGTCCATTTGTGAACAAATACAGTGATTCTCTTGGCATAGCAGTTAGCAAGAATCATTCCTTGCTGCTCAACTACATGGTTTCTTAGCTCTGTCCTCAGCACCAGAGGATACATAGGAATTGGAGAACCCCACTCAAAGATTTTTCCATTTTTCTATAGACAAAGATTGAATAGACATGAGTTTCCCTCTGTTGTCTATCTTGTGTTATATGCAGAATTATCACTTCTTCCATGTGGAATTCAATAGTGTTCCTACTGTGTGCGAAGAGATAAGCATTATGCTCCTTTGAAGCTCAGTGTGCTTCACCAGCTGATAAGAGGGTTTAAAAAGAGTAACAAGATACTGAGTAAAAGAGCCTCTAGATAGTGATTGTGAATGTAAGAGCACAATTCGAAAATACAGAGAAACATGTCAGACCTGGTAGCTTGGAAGAGGCCAGTTCTGGTAAGAGTGCTGACAAGTCTTCCGATTCCATGGTATTCAGGATAAAATATGAGATAGTGGTCCCATCTTTCCAGTCACTTGAAAAACCCCAGGCTTTGAAAGATGCAAACACAGCCATTGTCCACGAAACAGAAATTGATGAAGCATTGGCAACTACCGAGGAATCTACAGACAGTATTAGAATTGAATACCTAATTAGCTTGTATTCAAACCTAAGAGTCTAAAAGTTCTCTTTAAAAATGATATTTAGGAGATAAGCAAATAAAACCTTAAAAAGCTTGGCAAAGAATAGTGGTAATGACAAAATATAAAGCAAAAGCTGATAAAGGAAAGAAAAGTCTAATCCTTCAGCACCTTATACAAATGATAAGTTAACTAAGAGGACCCGAAGTCGGTATGTTTCTATGAAAGGTGGTTCTTAAAAGAAGCAAATAAGGGCCTACGAGATGTTATTTGTGATATGATTAACTAGTGTGAGGTCTGCAAAGACTGCTTTCAACTCAAGTCATTATATCGAACTAAGCTAGAGAGCACAGCTGGGTAAGTATACACTTGCACTAGTCTGTACATCCCTTCACTTCTGAGCAATTCTTCCCTATTGACAGCATGTCACGTTCTAAGAAGTCTTGAAATACTTACTTGGGACTTATTACAAGGTGATAACGGGGGAATATTTGCCATTTGCTCTGTCCAATTTCTTCTTGCTTGGATTGTACCTATTCATGGGGCACAGAATCATGCAGAATTAAAACTGTGATAAATTTTAACCTACAAAATTAGTGAAGAATTTTATGATTAGTGACATTCAGACACTGGTAAGATATGGTAAATATCAGATTTGCTTATTATATGGTTCAAATCAAACTTCAAAAAATATTCTGAAACTCAATTTGGAAGTGTTTTTTTTTTTTCTGTGAGCCTTAAAACCTTTTATACCCTCCACTTTTATCTTAATAAGATAATTGGAAAATGTGTAGAAACATTCCCTGAAGTATTACTTACAATTGTGGAAAATGGAAATACCTCCTATGTTCTACAGTAGAGGAGTAAATTAGAATACACCCTTGCTCTGTGTTTATTCATGAATAAATAAATAAAATATTTAAAAAAAAAACCTATCTCATCAGAAAGGCTGCATATCATCCCCGTGACCTCCTCTGGACTTTAAACAAAACAGTCGTTGGCCAGGGATCTAGAAGATTTTGTTCCTTTTGTGCTATACGCAAGGAGGGATTTGACACAGTTTGCCCTAGATCCCCGCAACGGCGCTTGTTATGAACGATGAAGTGATGCCTTCAGTGAAAGAACAAGTTATGAATATAGTGTCAGTCTACATGTTTGCTTTACTGCAAGTATTTGACATTTGAAATTCAAAGATTTTTTTTTTTTACCAATTCACTTTCAAAATATGTTCATCTGCAGCAGTCTACAGGGAAAAAATCTTACAAAGACAATGGCATACTTTTCATATATGAAGACAGTTTACAATGTCATACTTTTCATATAGCTCTTTTCACCATCATGTTGGATTTTACTAAGTGTTAAAAAATTGAAGGTATGTTTGGAGCACATTGATCTCCTTTCTGTCATTGCCTTACTCTTATCTTTTCAGGCAAGTTTTGAGAAACTCAGTGATAGACTGATCAGTACTCTCATAAATTTAATTTTTCTAAAAATATATCCTGAACTTACTTCCTTTGTTGCTTTTTCTTAGAAATTCATTAAAAATAAAAAACAAAAACAAAAAACAAAAACACTAACACTTCCCATGCCAGATTGTGAATGTCCTTGGTTGATATGAATTAGAGCTTAGGTCTCCAGGCTGTGTGCCATGGTGTTCTGACTTAGGATGGCTTTTGAAGAAGATGTTCTCTTCAGATAGGTGTTGTTTTTTTTTTTCTTTTTTAAGATGATATTCTTTTTTTTTTTTCCTAGTAGATTGCATTTGAAAGGACAGTACTGATACATCTAAGGAAAGAAATATGAAAACCCTGAAGTGTGTGCAATTACTCTCTCTTCTTGATATTGTGGCTGAAATTTCTTCTTTATGTTTTTTATTTTTTTTAAGATTCATCTTTTTTTGAGAGAGAAAGAGCGCACACACGAGGGTGTGAGTGGGGGAGGGGCAGAGGGAGAGACTCCCAAGCAGACCCCCTGGCTGGGTGCAGAGCCTAACATGGGCTCAATCCCACAGCCCTGAGATCAGGACCTGAGCTGAAACCAAGAGTCCAGACATTTAATCAACTGTACCCCTCATAACTTTTTTTTTTAATAATGTGTACATTTGCTGCATACTAAAACTTATGGAAAATGCCATTGAAATTCTCATGATTTAATAACATAAATACTAGGAAATATGCAACATTCTCCAAAAATGTATCAGAAGAATAATAGTTCCAAAAGTTCTTAAGAGAAAGATATCCTGTGAGCAAATATGTTTCTGAATTTCTCAGTTAAACAGTAAGTTTATTTACTGTAGGAATTTTTAGAGAAGTGGTCCTCATTCTGCCTTTAGAATGCGTTACAGTCACCTGGGAGACTTAGTAAACATGAAGTTCCCTGGAGGCCTCTCCCCAGAGATTATGGCATCCTAATTCTGGGACAGAAGGTGTATAGATTTTTAACAAACATCTCACAGGATGCTGATGCAGATGGTAAAGAAATATTGTCTTAACAATTTTATTATTTTAATAATTTTGATCATTTTTATACATTCCAAGGGTTGGTTATACAAAGCACCCTTTCCATTTGATGGTGGGATTTTTTTTTTTAATCTTAATATATTTTATCTTTATCTTAATATGTTGTTGTTCTTGGGAAAACAGTTTGACAAATACTAAAACACAGAGTTTTCTTGGAACATTTTCCAGATCAGTTTAAATAATAGATGTAACATTAATTCCTTAGTAACTAACTTCTCATTTATTTCTAAGGAACACATGAAATTTGGCATAGCCCTGCCTCATAAAAAGAGAATACTATACAAACATAAACTAAGTGGCAAAGCTTTTCTATGATGGCCGATTCAGTTTCCAGTTGTCAACTGGTATCACATTTAAGAACATAAAATTAAAATATACAATAATAAAGACCTTAAATAGGAAAAACATATGTCTCTTTCTAGGACAAGAGGTTTTAAAAGATTTATGCATAAAATAACTTACACATGCTTGACTATCCCATATATTTATTCAGCATTGGAAGCTACATATTAAATTTCACAAAGAAAAACTGCAAATTTATTCAGAAAAAAATATTAGTTATAACCCTGCTTTGCCTGCAAACGGTTTCTCCTTACTGTATGAACATGAGTCTTGAACATTTTATCTAAGTTCTCTACTCAGATGTATGTGTAGAATTTTATATACCTAAATTTTCTAGCTATTGCCTTTTTTGATTATCATTCCAAAGTAAGCATGGCCTACATATTAGACTTGATGTTTCAAAACTACCCAAGAAAATTTCAGAGGGTTAAAATGCTTCAAATTTTCTTATTTTTCCCCTATCAGCAGGGACCTAACGTATGTCTTCCACATTCCAGAAATATTAAGTTCTGCTTTCATTATTTTTCTTTTAATTCAAAGGTGGTTCCTAGTCCTTCTTACCCCTTTCAAATTAAAAGAGTCAAACATATTTTAAGATGTTTCTGTCATCCCCTGGTTTCTCAGTTTGAGTTCCTTTTTTTTGTTTGTTTATTTGTTTTTGTTTTTAAGATCCAGGGACTCCAAGATCACGCCCTGGGCCAAAGGCAGGCGCGCTAAATGGCTGAGCCCCTCAGGGATCCCCTCAGTTTGAGTTCCTTAATGAGATTCTTAAGCTTCTCCCACAAATACATTAAACATCAGATTGCGGGGGGGAAGTGGGCTGATATTTTTTAAATATTAAGAATAATCTTTTTATCACAACCGAGATTAAACTTAGACCAATTTTGTATGCAAAGGACACGTCACTCAAAAAAGAAAACAACATGGAAACAGACAGGCAGCCCAACAGAGGAAATAGGCCCAATCTCCTATGGAAGATGGTCCGTGATCTGTTACATAATGATGACTAAATAGGGCAAGACAATCTGTGTAGAGGAAATTCAGGAAGAAGATGGGTTTATATCTCAATGGGGATTGAATTCTATATGCATACAAATTCCAGTATATTTGAAAAATGAAGGGGAGGGATTTTTAAATGAGTTCAGCATAGACATGGCAAGCCTTAAGATTCCATATTTGAATTTAGTATTGAGGTATGGCAGGGACAACTGAAAAAAAATATCTTTTTTAGCAATATGACTAGTGTTTGCAATGAAATATGGTAGTTCAGAAGGTTTTCAAGTTTTCCCAGCAGTTAATAACACAGTTAGGACCAAATATTGATTGTCCAAACTCAGCTCTGCTTTCTAGATGCCACACAGGGAGGAATTTACTGATCCTCTGGAACGGGTTTTGATGGGTGGGGATAAAAAAGGTATTTTAGAAGAGACTATGAGATTTCTGAGCTCCAAAATGAGGACATGGTAAGACTCTTTTGGGAGGTGAATTAACCTCTGTCACGAATTTTTAGATTCTCTAAAATCAGACATGCTACACACCTGCTTAAAACATTCAGTGTTTTTCATCCATTGTTTTTCACCTAAAACCTTAGTCAGTGGTATGACCCTTCATTATCTGCGCCATGTTCATCATCCCTGTCAGCTCTTTTATATCTATTTTCAACTTGCAATTCGTACTCCAGAGAGCACCAAAGTGGCTGCAGTTTCCTGAATCTTAAAATACTTGATGTTGCTCCATAACCATTTCATGTGCCGCTACCTCTGTCAAGAATACCGCGTCCCAAGTACCTTATTCAGAGGACGACTCCCACTCATGCTTCAAGATTCAACACAGATAACACATTGCTCTGGGAAGGTTTTCCTGACTCCTTTCTCCTTCTTCTAGAAAAACTAATCAAGATCCCTTCCTAGGTACTTCCATAGCACTCTCTGTTTTTCCTGCATCATCACGTTTTATTATAACTCTCACTTTTCTCCTTAACTGTAAAGCAAGTTATTTTTCCCTAGATTTTTAATAGTTATACCTTAACAGAGCTTGCAAAATAATAAATATTTATTACATATGTCTTTAGATGGATAGAAATATAAATAAATGGATGGATGGATAGATGGATGGATGACTTCATATAACATATAAGCAAATAATCCAGTTAATACGCATTGTGTAGCAGAAGGCAGACAAAAAATGGAATTAAAAATCAAATATTCAAAAGTGTTCTATTGACTTATCCAGGTTTTTTGTTATTAGCAACTTAAAGTCTGAAATTAAGACAATGCACATCTAGAATTCTTACTATTACATCGACTTACTTCATGTCTTTCATGGATGTGTGGAAGTTAGAGGGTTAATATACTCACTATGATCAAATGTTGTCACTCACTGGTCTCTCTTTTTTTCAAGTGACTCTCTTCAAGTGTTTCTATTATTTTTCAGGAAAAAATGCTACTACACTGACCGGAGGAGCAAATCAATGGGCAGGTCAGTGGGTGATGTGTAATTTGTTTACAACCGATTTGACATTTGGGAAAAACAAAAAGGAAACATTCAATTACCCATATCAGCAGTTATAAATTTTAGGATGAAAGATTTTGTTGGTTTCTTCAAAGATTTCCAAAATGACTTATGCCAAATTTAACAATGTGAAAATCAGATAATCTCTCTCTTTTTTTTTTTTATTTACCATTTCAATTCCTACAATCCTCTTTTAGTATAATGTTGTGACAGGAAGATTTTAATTGCAAGTTAGCATCTTAGGAAAGATTTTAATTTATAAAATAGTTTTAAAAGCAGGATTGATGAGCAGACGAGGACCCCCTAGAATAAAAGGAGAACAGACACAGCAGAAACCCTGTGGATCATTCCGTGTAAATTCTTTGACAGAGGAGGTCAAGGAGAGGCCAGCATCCAGAGTGATGAAGTGGTTTACCAAGGCCACATAACATCTTTTGAATCCCAGGCTACTCTTAGGTCACCAGCTGAGCTGCCTCTCTTTTCCGAATATTGAAAAGAAGCTGTTTTTCAAGAGCTTCATCCCAAAACTTCTCTTTACCTGTTGTGGTAACAGTAGCTGTGACAAAGGAATTAAGCAAGCCAGAGCCCTGAGACAGAAAAGGCTCTCCCACCTGAATCACCTTGGCCCTGTTTCACTGAGGAAAATGAGCTTCCATTTAATGGACACTAAAAACAAAAAGGTTTCTATTTTTCTGCTCATTTCAAAAGAATTAATTAACAAAAGCAAGATATGATGGCGTGTACTCTACTGAATAATTCTGCAAGATGTTACCAGTCAGAAGGACACAAAACTAGAATCATGTAGTATGAACCTCAGAACATTTTAGGAAAGGATTTTATAAATCCAGTTCCTTACCAGAGAGAGTGGCTGAATATAATTAAGAACTTTAGAATAGGAAAAATTTTGATTTTAAGAGAGGAGAATGTTGGTCTTTCTTAAACATTGAATTTAGATGTGGTAGGAACAGGTGACAAGAAAAGTAAATAATGGAGGGAAAACTTGAAATTAGAATTAATGCGAAAGAAATGAGTTCTTAAAAGTATCTTTAAAATGCTAAAATTATTAATGATGCTCCTCAGCCAGGTCCCATTTTTCTCTTTGTTGGGTTAACATGCTCAGATTTAGAATGAGCTTTGATCATTCCCTTGTGCGTATTTGGTCCTAGTCTGTATAGCAAGTTTCCAAAATTATTTTTATATAATAAAATAAAAGTCATTGGAACAGATAATATATGAATTTATAACTGCAGAGGGTTCTGTTTGTTTTTCTCTGCATGTACCTGCATCATGTTTGATGGCATCGACAGAATGTCAGTGGGTTAGGTTCAGTGTGCTCCATAGAATGAGTGAGATTTTGCTACTGTAGAGTAAGTGGGTTTTCTGATAAACAAGCATCTTTCTTCGAGAGACTTGCAGAAGGATAAAATCCTATAGACTAAAATAGCAAGAAATTTCTACGTAATATTATGTAATCGCTTTAGAATGCACTTGTCTTTAGAATGCATGATAAACATGTACATTAAATTGCAAAGAAAACACTTAATTTTTTTCTATTTTGATCAAACTTAAAAATAGAGAACTAAACACTATATTATGTATCATACTGTTTTACTATCTTTGATGTTTATTATTTTTTTCTGTTTACTTTCATGAAATGAAAATTCAGTTATATCTTCCAACTAATCACTAAAATACCTGAAATGTTACTACAGCCTACCTCTTCAGAGTTTACTTACGACAAATAGTTTCCTTTGGTCCTTGACTTTTTGGACGCAAACGGGAAGGGTAGCAAATAAATAGGAAGGGTATTTATAAAAGTATATGACATCATGAGCTGAGAAGAATGTCACGTTGTTTGCTTGAGTTTAGAGTTTCAATTAAGGAAATGCTTGGTTGATTTCCTTTTTTTTTTTTTTTTTTTTTTAACTTTAACTTTGGAGAAAAGTTTAACTGTCTCCTCCTCCCCGTGTGTGTGTGTGTGTGTGTGTTTGTGTGTGTGTGTGCTGATGATCATCGTTATAAAATTTTAAAACCTCATTAGTAGACAATTGGCAAGAGAGAAATGAAAGTCAATTGTGTGCACTTAGATTTTCCCTGTGCTTTTCCTCTCTTGAGGTGGGAAAGATGATTTGTGCGTGGGTGTTTCCGCCAGTAAACATTAGGTGATGTAAGGTACAGGCAATTCTCCAGCTGTTGAAGATGGTCATTTCTCCGGGCAGCTGTCGTTCTACTCCTGCTGCTGTCTATCATTTGTTGACAAAGCACTTTCACGTTCAGTTTTCCAATCATCCTCAAAATGACCCTTCAGGGCAGCAGAACACAGAATAACCGGTTTTGCTTACCGGGGAGAACCAGTGACTGTTGGCACCACTGTCTACTGGCCTCTTGCCTCATCCGCAGTATTTCACAGCAGCTTGGGTGGAGCTTGAGCCCTGACCACGTTTTTTTGGCTCTTCTCTCCAAGTTTCTTTTCAATTTCCGTGGAATTCTCTGCTTTCCCTTGATTTTGCCCCAGCAGCGTAAAGCTCCATTAGAAGTCATCTTCACAGTATGTCATGAAATCTTGAGTCCACCAGATGGCCAAGATGACAAGGATTTGATGGAGTGTGGATCATGCATTAGGTCGTGTTGGTGACATGGTGATACTGGTAGCAGTAGACGGAGTAGTAATACTCTCTTTTCTTACGATTATCGTAAACCTTACTGAGTGCTCGCTGGGTGCTGAGCACTGTGGATTCGGGCATTCCGTATATAGTTCTCAAAATAATCCCTTCCTTTAAGAGATGAGAACATCGAATAAGAACCAAGGAAATTGAGTAATAACCCAGAACGTTGCATCCCGTGATTCAAATCCAGGCCTGACCACATTTCACTATCAGAATCCTCTACTTCTCTGTAGAAAGTCCATATGAAAAAAATCTAAATTATAAAATGTTTATTTCTGTAAAAAATCAGTGATGATGAAGCCCCTTTTACTGTTTAAATGTTCTTAAAATTTACCTCCGCTTCTAGGATGTTTATACTAGTAGGTCAGCATTTCCTAAGTGCAGTCAAAAACATATCCTTTCATTTGATCCTTCTGGCACCTAGTAAGGTAAGACAGAAAGAATCATGTCCTCTTTCTAGAGATAAGGAACCTAAAGCTCAACGATTAAAAATGTTTGCCTCGATTTCAGTAACTGGCAAATTCAGTCCTGGAAGACTCCTCCTCCTACCCCAGTGTTTTCCTCCCTGTGCCAAGTTTGAAAGCAGGAGTGATGGCTAGCTCATCCATTCAGTGATTCATAAACATCTATACACTATCACTGAAATACGGAGATACTCTGTGATTTCAGAGGCTTTTGTTATCATGAGAAGAAGCAAAATGAACACCTCAGATATTGCTGATTTATTATGTTAGGCTAGAAAGAAATGCTTGGGTCCCTCTAAAACCAAAAATGACTTGGCATCTATTTAATAACCCATCCGGCAAAGGAAAGGTCCAGACTCTCCACATGCTAAACTGCCCGTCAGGAATTGATTATTATTTCAAATTATGCATAGTAATTTTAGCATAATAGACTCAAGTGGAATAATTCCCAAGATACACTATTAGCGGCCTGCACATTGCTCCACTAAATTTTTTAAAGTTTAAACAGAGTTGACCAAACGGACATGAAGATGCATTGTACTTGCCTAGGAAACTTTCTTATTCTGCTACTTTCATTCTTACTACTGCAGAAGAGGCCCAAATGGACAAAGATGGAATCTCATGAATGGTGTGTAAATATTGCAGTTTGGAGGGGTTTTTTTTTTTTAAGTAAAAATGCAATTATAATTACAGTTACTCAGAATTAAGTTTTCAGAATCAATCTCTTTTGTTTACTTGTTTTTCTTTGTAAAGTAAACATGATTCCAATATCAGTATATACACTTAAGACCTGGGTTATGACCATAATCTAAAGCTGAGACCAAGGTATCGTGATATAAGATTTCCTGAAACAGTATCTTACTGTCATGTGGGTGGTGTCTGTACTAAACCCATCACTCAAAGTGCTGCCAGTGGACAGCAGCGTGGACGTCCCTAGGAGCTGGTTAGAAATGCAGACTCTCAAGCCCCGCCCTCGGCCGACTGAATTAGCTTTTTAACCAGATCTTCAGATGATTCATGTGCTCATCAGATTCTTAAAAGTACCGCAAAGACTCTTTGCCTCTGTTTGTTAATAATCAAGTTAAATATAAGACACTGAGGGCGCCAGGGTGGCTCAGTCGGTTCAGCGTCTGACTCTTGATTTCGGCTCAGGTCGTGACCTCGGGGTTCTGAGATGGAGCCTTGCCTGGAGCCTGCGTAGGTTGCTCTCTCTCCCTTTTCCTCTCTCTCTCTCCTGCCTTTTAAAAAATAATCTTTAAAAAATAAGACACCAACTTACAAGTCTCTAACAAATTCAGTGTGTTTTTGTTGTTTTTTTTGTTTTGTTTTGTGAGTGAGGAAACAGAGGCAAGAAGTTCAATAATATGTGTCACTTTGCACAGCCACTGTGGTGCCAAGCTGCCTCTGAACTCGGTTTTGCTTGATGCCAGGAGCCTTGGTGTTCCCATTGCAGCTGGGGCTCGCAGACCTGTTGAATAAGTGTGTAGTAGACATTCATTTCCTTTTGGTGTCCACTTGTAGAGCCACAGGGCTGTAGAGTTTTCAGGGAATCAGGGAATAATCTATAGCTATGTCTATAGGTATAAATACAGCCATTTGTGCACTCCCAACTTTGACCAGTGTGTCATACTGCTCTCATTGTTGGTTTCTTTCCTACCACCCTCTGTGTGTATGATGATCCTTCCACATGTTCCGCAAGGCTTTTCTCATAAGGATGACCTAGTTGCACTGGAAGAGCTTTCACAACTGCAGGATTCGGTTTGTTTTGGAATTCATTCCCTTTGTGGTGTGGGAACAGGAGCAATGCTTGTGCATGGGTGTGTGTGTGGGGGTGTGTCCTTTTGGAGCTCTGTTTACGGAACAGTAATGGAAGGTAGGCATTGCTCTGGAATGCAGCCTCACCTGGTTCATGTGACTTTGTTCCAGTGTACAAAATTATTTTAGAAGGATAAAGAAATGGATGGCCCAGAACCCAATGGTTCTTGACAAGTCGGCTTTTCCAAACCTGCAGGAGTCAGACTGCTATACCGGCCCCTTCAGCCGGGCCCGGATTCACCAGTAAGTTCATGTTCCTTTTTCTCCCACTGCCGGACGTGGTACCTTTCATTATCTAGGAATTATTCATAGAATAAAGATACGTTGGAGCAGTTCCATTGTTTGCCAAATAAGTCAGAGAATGTATCATTTCATTGATTTTTTTTGCACTTTGTTTATGAACAGTACTCAGTGAGCATTATTAATTCCTTATCAGATGATTTAGCAACAGTCAAAAAAATGAATAATGAATTGTAAACTCATGGGCTAATAGCCGAGAGTCCCAATTCTTTCAAAATAATTGCAATGGTGCTAAATTACTCAGTTAAAGTAACAATAATGATAATAATAACAGGATTACTATTAAATAACATGGATGAATGATGGATTGTCCTAATTAATAAATGATTATACATAATTACATTTAATTAATATGTATTTATTAGTTTAATCCACTTTAGTCTAATTGTATTAAACTAAGGTAAATGAGACATTTTTTAGAGACTTGTTGCATAGCTAACTATCCAATTATATACCAACATATTTCTCTCTATTCCTTTATTCATTCAACTAGCATTTGAGTTTCTACATAAACTGTCAGAAGTTGAGTGAGTCCATGACACTTCCATCTTTTTGAGGATCCCAGCAAATTACAAAGTAAATGCTGAAATGGACCCTCTCTTTGCTGTCAAGATCACCCTCTTGCTCTTTATTCATTGGCTCTCGTATGCGGTTCCTCTTTGCACCTCTTCCTACATGGCGGCAGGACAGGGCATGAAGGGGAAGGGAGCTCTTGCTCACTGCTGAAGTTCTCAGGGCAAGACGAGTTAGCTTGGAAGGTGTGGTACGGGCAAATGACATCAATTTTTAATGTGTCCTATTTGGAACTACTTTGCTTGAGGTAGTACAAAATTTATGGGAGGCAACCGACAATCTAATGCTGTCCCTGTTTTATCCCAAACAAGAAATATGAGGACATCTAGGCCTTCTTATAAACTGAAACATTTGTCAATGAATATTTGATCATACCTGTATTATTTATAAATGTATTTTGTCTCTGCCAATTGATTTTTTTTTTAAGATGATGGTTTGTCTTTTGACTTACTCTACTTCTCACACGTCCGTTTTAATGGAGAAAATAGATGGATGACTACCTAGAAACTTCTGACTTTTGCTGGACTCTGTGCTCTGTTTTGAATATTAAAACAAATCCCCTTATCTTAACAGCTTCATAATAAACAATAAGGACACGTTCTTCAGCAATGCTACTCGAAGCAGGATAGTCTATCACATGCTACAGCACACCAAATATGAAAATGGAATATCAAAAGTGGGTAAGAACACTGATCAAAAATAGGAGGTAGAATTTGCTGTTACTAATCATATCCAGAAATATTTATTTTAACATCTGAAGCTTTGCCTTCGTGCGTTAACTATGAAGGTATAATGCATTGAACACAAACTCTAAACATTCTGTTTTTCAGCCTTTCAATAAAGCAAAACTAAATACAACAACAGCAACAACAAAGACTTTTTCAAGGGCGTTTAGCCCTATGTATCAAATGTGAGAAGTGCTAACACTTTGAATAGAAATTTTACTTCTTGAAATTTATCTCCAAGAAATAATCAGATTTTTGAATAATACTAAATGTAGAAGTTTGTACATAGGGGCTTTGTTTATAAGCAAAGATTAGAAAGAAATCTAATTTCATCCATCACTAGGAACTAGCAAATATGTTAGGCTGCTTCTCCATAAATGCATCCATTTAAAATTATGTTATTAATTCACTCTTAACTCAGATTTACCAAACATCTGTTATATGCTGTATATCACAAAAAGTATATGACACAGACCCCTTACTTGTAGAGATTAAAAAATAGTGATTAGTTCTCCATTTATTGACTTTGAAAGACACCACAATGCATAATCAAGTGAAAAAAGGAACAGAAAAAAAAAAAACAGATTAAAAACTGTAAATCCAATGTAATCCCATTTCCTAAACACACATTCGTAAAAAGAAAAAAATCTAGAATATATATGAAACTTTTTAGAAATTACCTCCAGAAGGTGAAATAACACCTAAGTTTAACTTTCTAAATTTCTGTGTTGTTTAAATGTATTGATGGTGTGCTACTACATGTATACTGCAAAAGAAAATTGAGACAATTTCATCTAGAAAAATTAAATACAATTGCCAAGTTTACATACTGCAGAGCAGGAAAAGACTGGTAACAAACTGGTTTTTTAATTATTAGGGTGAAAAATACAAGATAGTGAAGAGATCAGATGCTAGTTATGTCCTAAAGTTCTTACAAATAAAATAGCCACTGAGAACTTGTACCAATCTCTACTGAATTGAATTAAAATATAGTGCCACAGAAGTCAAATGAGCTATGTTTCAAGCCAGCCATTATTTTTTAAAGAGGAAATTTCAGACTTTGGTTCTTCTTTGATTAACAATTCATTTATTACTGAGAAGTCAAAATTGTTAATTTGGATACTAAATCCTTACCAAAAAATTTGACACTGAGTTTTCTAATAAATAATAAAAATAGAGAAATCCAGAATATAAATTAAAAATGTGTCCAAGTGATAGTGTTATGTGCTTACCTAGTATTATAAATAAAAATAAAAATATGACATTTCAAATGATTATACAGATATTATGCCTTTTGTGGAACATACAGTAAACACAGAAGAGTATAAAAATAAAATTAAAAACCCCCAAACTCAGTTGTCACTCTCACAAATTAATACTGAATATATACATATATATATAGTAAGCCTATATATAGTAAGCCTGCATGATTCTAATAATATGTGTATATATATATATGTTGAATATGATGTATAGCACATTATTAAAATCATGTAATGTTTACAATTTTCTGTCCTTTTTAAGAAGTATTTATGAGTATTCTCTCAAGCCCTTTGGTATGTCTGTAAACATTTTAAGTAGCTGTACAAAATTCTATTACAGACATTCATCAAATTGCAGTTATTTACCAAGTACCTAATATAATTGATGGCACCATAGTAATTAAATGATTCCCCAATTTAGGGCATACAATTATTTCTCAGTCTTCACTAATATAAATAATGCTGTAACAAAAATTATTCTCTAAAAGCTTCCCAATATCTAATCTTATCAGGACATTATGAGAATGTCCATTTCACTACACTCTGAGCTGGAGGAGATTTTAAGACGTGTCACATATTGCTGTTTATGTCTCCTTGGCTCCATTGTAATTAAAGACTCCTTAAAACTAGTATCTTTTTGAGACATTTTTGTGGGCAGAGAATTCCTCTGCTTTTTTTTTTTTTTGACCAAATGTCACTGTTTCAAGGTAGAAAAATTTTTTTTGCTCCAGGTTCATGTGAACCCAAATATTAAAATGTCTCATATTCCATGATATGGCAAAGTGCCGTATGTTGGCACCTTGCAAACTCCCTGCAAATCTCCATTGATTAGTGTTGTAAGGACACAAACAGACTCTTATTATCATTCTCGCTCATCCCCCACCGCCCTCAGGGGTGGTGTGGCTATGGATGGCATCTGGGTTATTTTAAGGTTTTAAATGAATCTGTTGTCCCAGGTATATATATGTTGCTACAGAGGGAAGTCTTCATTTGAACTGACCCTGGAACTGTTTTTTGTTTCTCTTCCCAGGTATCTGTAAACTTATAAACAATGGCTCATATATCGCAGCTTTTCCCCCACATGAGGTAATTTTGAAATACAGTTTCCATTAAAAAAAAAAAAAGTTTCTCATGCTTATCGCTGATCTTTTTAAATTTCTTTTAAGTCTGGCTATCCTCTCTTAGGATGACTCCATCAGTGGGTGGCCCTGGGCCTTTCTGAGACCCCATTATGATCTCTGGCTGCATACTGGCTCCAGTGCTCCAGAACCCTTGTGCAATTTTGCCCTTACTGGGAGTCCCAGCCCTGGAGGGAACTCAGGGACATGGCTCAGCCACTCTGACCACTGCCACCCTCTGCTCCAACACCAGAGTTCCATGCTTGACCCAGCTTCAGGCCCACACCACTCCCAAACAGGATAGAGACTGGTCTGTGCCTACGACTTTGGGATACCTGAAAGTCTAAGACCAACCCACAACCAAAACCTACACCCCATTATTTACTTGATTCCCTGCCAGGCTATTACCTGGCTACCCATTTTAGGTAAAAATACCTGCTCCAAGCTGTGATGAGCTCTGCCTCAGAGTCACGAATGACATTTGAATCAGTTTTGAACATCCTCTCCCAACACACGCGCACACACACACACACACACTATTCTTTTTAAGGCAATTTTGTATTTTAAAATAAGAATGGGGTTTAAGGAGGTCTGAGGTCTGCAATCTCAGAACCTATCGCTTCTATTTATAAAGGCTGAGGACTCACAGGTTTCCTATACCTGGGGAATTCACAGTCTAGTAAAACTCATAAAGGATAAAATCCATTGAGCTCTTCCTATTTGACACTGAGCTAAGGGTTTTATATGGATTATCTCATTTAATCCTTAGAACAATCTTTTGAGATAGACAATAAGAATAGCTCTGTTTTATAGCTACATCCTTGAGGGCACAGAAAAGTGAGGTATCAAAGGCACAGATCTGAGCCCAGAAAGCCAGACCCCAATGCATCAATTCATTGTGGTCCTTACTTACAGTAGTAATAGGAATAATAGTAACGGGTGGAAAGTGTGAAGAATATCTTATCTAAAGTAAGGTGTAAGGATTCTAGGATTTAAAAACCTGACTAGCACTTGTGACTTAGACCTCTGACACTTTTTGATTGAACATTTACTTTCTTCTTGAGCTTCTATAAATAAAATAAATATTTTCTGGGACGGAGTCATTTCTTAAAGTAGAATAATACTCTTAATTTCTGAATTAAGGATTACAACTATTTCTATCAGTGACAGCGAAGACATAGTGTTTATTAAAAAACCTTAGGTTACAAATGGTAGAATCTAAATTCTAGTTTAAGTGAAGGGGATCTCACTGGTTTATTTATTTATTTTTAAATATTTTATTTATTAAAAAATATTTTATTTATTTATTCACAAGAGACAGAGACAGAAAGAGAGGCAGAGACACAGGCAGAGGGAGAAGCAGACTCCATGCAGGGAGCCCGATGTGGGACTCGATCCCAGGACTCCAGGATCACGCCCTGGGCCGAAGGCAGACGCTAAACCGCTGAGCCACCCAGGCGTCCCAATCTCACTGATAAAAAAAAAAAAAAAAAAAAAAAAAAAAAGGACTTTAAGAAAAGACTTTTAAGGAATTATCAGAACATTTTCAATGAAAAAGTGTTATATAAAAACATTTACCGCATCATTCCAATGATGAGCCTAAGTTTACAATTTCTGAAGCTTTCAGTAAGCTGTTAAATTGTTCTCTAAGGAAAAAAAAATAGTAAAAGCAATTCTTATGTAGTTCAAATTTGCTAAGGGAATATATATCAATTTATCTTATGTTATGTGTTTCAGGGAGCCTACAAGAGTAGCCAGCCCATCAAAACACATGGACCTCAAAACAACAGACATCTGTTATATGAGCGCTGGGCACGCTGGGGAATGTGGTATAAGCATCAGCCCCTGGATTTAATCAGGTAAGGTGGGTGGATCGATAATGGACGGTAGATCATTCTGTGCTGTTGTCATTTTCCTAGATTTAGAATTATTTCACCTGCCCACCAGATCATCTGTATCAGTCAGGATGCAGTCAGGGGAAAAAGAAGCCACTGTAGGTCTTTTCAATAAAAGACACTTAATTTAGTTTTAGACACTTTTTGGTTATAAAGGGAATGGAAAAGCTGAGAAACCAGACAGGAATGGAGAGGCAAGCAGAGATTAACAACAGCAGAATATTGCTAACCGGGCAGCCGGGGTGGCTCAGCGGTTTAGCGCTGCCTTCAGCCGGGGGCCTGATACTGGAGACCTGGGATCGAGTCCTGCATCGGGCTCCCTGCATGGGGCCTGCTTCTCCCTCTGCCTTGTCTCTGCCTCTCTGTCTCTCTCTGTGCCTCTCATGAATAAATAAATAAAATCTTAAAAAAAAAAGAAGAAGATTGCTAACCACCCTGGGGTTAGAAGGAAAATGAGATGAAGCATATTTCAGAGCCCACTAGCGGGGCCATTGGGTGGGAGCTATGCCGTCCATGACTGAGACTGTCTGCAGAGAAGTGAATGTGTTGGAGAAGGCATGACCCCTTCTCCCTGAGGATGGCCAACAGAGCAGGAAAGATCTTGGCTCTCTCCCTTCCTTCTACCTGTGAGTCTGCCAATACCTCCTGACCCAACTTAACCAAGAGCAATGGAACATGGAACCTGTGTAATCTACTTACTTCCCTATGAAAGAAAAAAAAATAGGGAAAGGCAGAAAATGGATCTGAGAGGCAAAGAAGAACATGACCAACACGGCATCGATGCATGCATTTGTCTTTCAACCAATACGTAAGAAGTATCTATTCTATTCCAGGAAGCATATTTCTACTGAGTAACTGCTCTCAAGTTGAATTAGTCTCCAGATACTGTTACAGTCATGATTTATTTCATTTTGATGGAGAATAATTTTGTTTTTTTTAAATATCAGGAAATATATATTAAGAAGGTTTTTTTTTTTTTTTTAAACTTTTTTTTTTATTTATTTATGATAGTCACACAGAGAGAGAGAGAGGCAGAGACACAGGCAGAGGGAGAAGCAGGCTCCATGCACCGGGAGCCCGACGTGGGACTCGATCCCGGGTCTCCAGGATCGCGCCCTGGGCCAAAGGCAGGCGCCAAACCGCTGCGCCACCCAGGGATCCCCTATTAAGAAGGTTTTAATCGAGTTTCTAGCTAGCAACAAATGTTCTTAGAATGAATGAAAAAAGAGCACTCATAAATTTATATATGTTGATATTTGAGCTGTTTATGAAATATAAATATCAAGAATAACCTCATAACTGTATCAGCTGTTGTCCCAGCAGGAAACTGATAGAGTAAAAGGGGTATCTGAAGAAAATGCAATAAAAGAACTAGATAACAGAAGTGTACATAGTATCAAGGGAGCATGTGCATGATGATGGTGACGCTTCCAGACACGAGCAAAAGTTGGCTGCTCTTGTCAAACCTCAGCCTGGAGGAACGAGGGGAGAGAGCCGTTGGTGGAACCTGTGAAAAACAGAAGTGGGGGTGCCTGGCATGGGGAAAGCAGCTACGGCCAGACCATGCTCGCTCCAAGAAGGGGAAAGTCAGGATAACCGAGACGCTGATACCTCTTTAGTCCCTCTCTGCCATCTCCTGCTGGTGCCTTCATTTGGCCAGAGAGCCCTCAGGAAACCAAAGGAAGGAAGGAGCACACGTGATACAGTCCATGAAAGTGAGCTTCCTGGGGCGCGTGGCAGGCAGGAAAAAGGTGGAACATGATCCCGATGCACAAATCCTAATAACCAGCACCAAACCGCTTTTGTTTCCGACATTAAGTTCTTGGGCCTAACCGAAATCTAGATGCTTTGATTCTAATTTCGTCAACCACAACAAATTATCAGATTCTTATATATGCAGGCGAAAGAATTGTTGGCTTTTATTTTTTGTTTTGTTTTTTTTTTTTTTTTTTTTGAGAGAGAGAGAGAGACTGAGCAGTGGGAAGGGGCAGAAGGAGGAGAGTGAGAATCTCAAGCAGCCTCCACGTCCCCAGCATGGAGCCCACAGTGGGGCTTGACCTCATGACCTGAGCTGAAATCAAGAGTTAGATACTTAACTAGCTAAGCCATCCATTAATATGAATATTTAATTAATTAAGTAATTAATTTGGGGGATTTTTTTTTTTTAAGAGAGAGAGAGAAGAGAGAACTATGATATGTGAACACAGTGAGATGTGCCAGTTCACAGAACCATATTTATTCTTAGGAACTGAAATGAAGTTGGTATTTTCAAGCAAGCATTTCAGTGTCGATAATTCTCTTATCTATTGGGCACGTTGCTTATTGCTGCTTCAGGTAATTTCAGCAAGCAACCTTTATTTTTAATCAGTACGGTTATTTGGCTACCAATTGTCTGGCTATTGACATAGTGGGGAAATTTTACTTATGAGAACCATGTATTTTGTATTCAAGTGGCTAAGAAGACAGGGAGGGGATCAAGGGCCTACCCAAGGTGGAGGCCTGAGAAGAGTAGACATAGATGGCCCTTCAACGAGTTCCTACTCTAGGAACCTGCTCGTTAGTGAAATATAAAACAGATAAAAAGAGAACAGCTCTAGGTGCAGTGTGGTAAAGAGTGACGTCAGCAGCAGTCCTATTTCTCCTCGCCTCAGCATGTTTTTTGAGACTCCTCTGGAGATCCTAGAAGATTGTGAAAACCAATGCTCCAGGTCAAGGGGGTTTTCATCAGCTTCTTTGCTTCTCCCTTCCCTTCTGAGCCAGATCTGAAGTCTCTTGTAACTTGGGTGATTAAACTACTGTCAAGTAATACTGTGGTTCCTCTTCACCTTCAACAATGTGTAATTTAAAATCTCAGTTTAGTGCTGCCTGTTTAAAGGGGGTTGTCTGCGCAGTCCTCTGTAGTCATTGTTATGAAGACATTCCATTATGTTAGTAATATATGCTAAACAGAGGAACACTTGTTTAAAGAAACAATTGGCTTTATCGCAATGCCTGTTAATACGATAAGCTTTTGTCTCAACTAGGACAGTATTATCATCGTATGAGCAGTGACTGGTCTACCGCTCTATGTCTCCTAGGAGAAATCAATGAAAAAAAAAATAAAAAACTTAGATAACTGGAGGATGACTCTGTTTATACCTGGTAGAGAGTGTGCACAAGTTTCATTGACTCGATATGGAGAGTGACTTAGTGAAAGAATGATTTTCTTTCTTTCTTTTTTTTTTTTTTTAAGAATGATTTTCAGAAAGAGAAAAAAAAAAAAATACCAAGAGAATTTTCTTCCCGGTAAGAATCGCTGCACGATGCAGTATTCTTAAGTGAACTGTAAAACATCAATTTTTAAAACAATCCCTGGGACAAAACTGTGTTAAGTAACCATTTTCCGAACATGGGGACCAAACAGTCCTAGAGAATTCAAGAAATTATTATTCCTTACCAGAATTTTATAAACTGTGTGGCAGTTGATGCTGTCAGTAGACTTGATGAAGTAGCAACTGAATAGTCATTAGAATTGTCTTACTCATCCTCCATTTCCGCATAAACTACTCTTATCAGCTCAAAGGTAATAAAATGCATTCATTTCCTTAGCTTGTCTACAGCCATACCACCCTGAACGTGCCCGATCTCATCATTTCCTTAGCTTCATTCATTACTCCCTGTGATGAGTGTTAGTGAAGAAGACACAGGTCCACTTCCAGGCACTTGCAGTCTTTTGGGGAGAGAGAGGAATGGAAGAGTGGCAGGTTAATTGTCATAAATTGTTACAAGTTTGGGACCCTGAAATGTGGGCGAGGGCAGTAGGGGAGCAAGATCGAGGCATCTAGGCCAGGGTTGCAGTGGAAGTCAGAGAAGGCTTCCTGTAAGAAGTGATATAAGGGAAGGATGCAAACAAGCCAGGTAAGAAAAGGGGATGAATGGAAATCCCTGGGTGGCTCAGCAGTTTAGCGCCTGCCTTCAGCCCAGGGCGTGACCCCGGGGTCCTGGGATCGAGTCCCGCATCAGGCTCCCTGCATGGAGTCTGCTTCTCCCTCTGCCTGTGTCTCTGCCTCTTTCTCTCTGTGTCTCTCATGAATAAATGAATAAAATCTTAAAAAAAAAAAAAAAGAAAAGAAAAGAAAGAAAGAAAGAAAGAAAAGAAAAGAAAAGGGGTGAAACACAATATTCCAAAATAAGGGAACAGCATTAGCCAGAGAAAGAATCCGGTCTCCAGGAAGCGCAGAGTTAACTTTGTTGAGGAAGGTGTGCAAAGATTGTGTCCAGCATAAGGGAGCCTGGCTGAAGGGGGTGGGGGGTGCAGACGGAGACTGAAATCCAATCTACTCTCAGCGTTCACCTACAGGGAAGATTTTTTTTCTAATTTCCACAAAAGCAACACGCTTCAGCACCGCTCTGTGTGTGGAAGACCAAGAGAAATGTACTAGGGGGTTGGATGGAGAAAGGAAAGAACTGGCCTATAAAGAGTTTCATGAGCCTTGTTAAGAAGTTTGACACGGAGAGATCCCATTTTATAAAATTGCCCCTGTAAAGGCGATGTTTAAAGATAAGCAGCATCACCGTTATTGGCTTCCTTACCAAGTGGGAATATTAAGATACCCCAGGCAGAGCTGCCCGGGTACGGCGCCTGAAATTCTGGTTGGGTGCGACGTCAGCGGTTGTAGTGCTGCTGGTGTTGCCTTAAGCTAAAGCTTCGCCTTCTCGTGCAGGCTGTACTTTGGTGAGAAGATCGGGCTCTACTTTGCCTGGCTGGGATGGTACACTGGAATGCTGATTCCTGCGGCACTTGTCGGCTTGTGTGTTTTTTTCTATGGAATATTTACGATGAATGGAAGTCAAGTAAGGTGAGCTGTTAACAGACTTCTCAAAACATGTAGGCCTTTGTGCTGACCTGACTGACAAAAGCTTTATGATAATGCTGACTTATTAAAGAAACAGATCAAGGTTCTACAGCTCATTGGCTGGGAATTTTGAGGAGAAGAGACAACGAGCACTGTTTATAAAGGGTCATTTCCACGTTTGTACGTGCAAATTCTCTTGGCTCAGTTCTAAGACTGTCCGTCTGCAGAGTTTCTCTTTCCGATGTATCCCACATAATAATTCAACGATGCGTGGTAGTTTTATATAATGTACATTGCCACAGTATTTGGTAGTCTAGATTGCCCTCTCCCTATTGTGGTTCGAATAATTATAATAGCTACAGTCCTTTAAACGACTTACAGCCTACAGAGAGCTTCCTGATAACGGCTTGTTTGTTTTCATTTGATAGGAACTTCACAACCACCCTTGGAGATGAGTAATCATGTTTTGCAGATGAGGGAACCTTACGTGGTTAGAGATGTCTGAACAAAATAATTGTAGCACATGAATCCTGCTCTAAGCAATCTTCTCTCCTGAGAACATAAAAATCACTTCCTGTTTTCTTCTTATTCTCTGTAAGAACAAATATTTATAATTATTTTAGTATCAACTTAAGGTATCAAGACAGTAGTGAAATAAGGTTTGACAAAAATCAGGTATTTGTCAGAATGATGATTCTACTCTTAAAGTTGAAATGACTCAAGATCTGGGTGGAGGAAAAAATACGTTATTATTCAGCAGAAACAAGACTCAGCCGGGCATTAAAGAATCCTCATGACAAATGTTCTGTTTAATATGTACAAGGATATCATCAAGTTTAGGTGTGAAAGACATAATTCAAATATCTATATATCCATATATATATGTATATATGGATGCGTATATATGGATATATATACACACATTATGTAATATGCATGTGTGGACATATAATAATTTGCCTAAAAACAAAATATTCCACTGCCCCAGAGTTCAATCCAGTTCCATCACCGACTTCCTTGATTTGCCCCTGTTCTCCATGAAGGCCAAATGATAGTTAGTTTGAAATCAAAGAAATACCTACTGTTCTAAAGACATTTCATCTAGTCATAGGTCTATTTCAGAGTTTTGCAGACTCACTACCGCTCTGGAAGGCAGCTTCTCCTGAACAAACTTGTGCCCAGTGGGAGCATCCATCCCTAGCTGGGCATTTCTCTGCATGCTCAGTAACCTCTGAGACTAAGAAAACAGGTTGTGATTTAAAATTATAGTGTCTTGAAAAGGATTTTTTTTTTTTTTACTGCTTTTATGTTCTCCATTCCTATGAGTTTGGCTTTTTTTTAAAGATTCACTTTAAAGTAATACCATTCAATATTTTTTTTTTCTTCCTCTGGCTTATGTCACTTAGTGTGATACCGTTAAGGTCCATCCATGTTGTCAAAAATGGCAGGGTTTCCTTCGTTCTCGTGGCTAAAGATATAGGTCTCTATCTATATGTATCCCACATCTCTGTCCATTCATCCATCAGTGGGCACTTAAGTTGTTTACATATCTTGGCTCTTGGAAGTAATGCTGCAGTGGGAATGCAGCTATCTCTTCAAGATCCTGTTTTCATTCCCTCTGGCTCTATACTTGGAGGTGGGACTGCAGGATCATATGGTCGTTCTATTGTTAATATTTTGAGGAACCTCCATGTTCTTCCCCATAGTGGGTGCACGGATTTACATTCCTATCCCCGGGGCTTTGATAAGAGGAGGTGAGCTCTCACTGTGGCTTTGATTTGCATTACCCTGATGATTAATGATGTTGATCACTTTTTCATGTACCTGTTGATTTGTAGATCTTCTTTGAAAAAATACCTATTCAGTTTCTCTGCCCACTTTTCAAATCAGATTGCTTGTTTTTCTACTATTGAATTGTAGGAGTTCTTTATATATTTTGGATATTAACCCCTTATCAGATAAATGTTTTGTAAATACTTTCTCCCATTCTGGAGGTTGTCTTTTCATTTTGTTGGTGGTTTCCTTTGCTATGTAGCAGCTTTCTAGTTTGATGTAGTCCATCCCATTTGTCTATTTTTGCTTTTGGTGTCAAACACTAAAAATCATTGCGAAGACCAATTTCAAAGAGTTTACCCCTTGCGTTTTCTTCCAGGAGTTTTATGGTTTCAGGTTTTAAATTTAAGTCTTTAATCCATTCTGAGTTAATTTTTGCATATGAGATAAGATAGGGGTTCAGTTTCATTCTTTTGCATGTGGATCTCCAATTTTCCTGATACCATTTATTGAAGAAACTATCCTTTTTCCATGGTATATTTTGCCCCCTTTGTCAAAAATTGACCGCATACACATAAGTTTATTTCTGGGTTCTGGGTTCTGTTCCATCGATCCATGGGTCTATTTTTATGCCGATACAATACTATTTTGATTACTATTGCTTTATAATATTACTTGAAACCAGGAGGTGTCGTGCCTCTCATTTTGTTCTTCCTCAAGGTTGCTTTAGCTATTTGGGATTTATTGTGCTCCATACAAATTTTAGGATTGCTTTTTATATTTCTGTGAAAATACCATTAAAATTTTGATAGAGATTGCATTGAATCTGTAGATATCCTTTGGTAGTATGGACATTTCAACAACATTAATTCTCCTAAGCCATGAGCACAGAATATCTTCCCATTTATTTGTGTCTTTTCCAATGTCTTTCATTGGTGTGTTAGTTTTCACTGTGTAGGTCTTATACCTTCTTAGTTAAATTTAGCCCTAATTATTTTATTCTTTTGGGTGCAATCGTCAATGGGACTGTTCTTAATTTCTCTTTTGGGTAGTTTATTGTTAGTGTGTAGAAATGCAACTGATATTTATATATTGTTTTTGTATTCTGCAACTTTATTCTGCGACATTTATTAGTTCTAACAGTGTTTTTGGTAGAGTCCTCAAGGTTTTAGAAAACCACTCTTATTTATTTATTTTATTTTTACTTACTTATTCTCTTAATGTAAATTCAAATAGCTAACATATGGTACATCATTAGTTTCAGATGTTGAGTTTGTAATTCATGAGTTGCATGTAACACCCAACGCTCTTCACATCACGTGCCTTCCTTGATGCCCTTCACCCAGTTACCCCATCCCCCCACCCAGCCTCCTCTTCAGCAACCCTTGGTTTCTTTCCCATAGTTAAGACTCTCTCAAATCTTTTCTCCCTTTATGATTTCTTTCAAAGAGGAAGGGAGGGAAAATGCAATGGAAGAAATCTGGGGAAACTACTCTTTTAAAATGAATTGATAAAGACATATAATGATTCTTAGAGGGGCAGCTACTGTTCAAGTTGGTCCTATGGAGAACATATTCTCAAAGTTTTACCATGTGGTATAGACTCCCTGATTTACCCCTACAGGGCCGAAAATGAACAAAAGGCAATGAAAGGAATAGATTTGCTATTCCAGTTGATTTATGGAATCAATAATTCCTATGAGTCCATGAATCAATAATTCAACAAAGTCAATTAGGCTCCTTGCATATAAGTACCTTTAGTACAAGGAGTGTTTTAAAAGGCATTAGCAAACTCTTTTCTTCAGTGCTTTATGGTATTATATTACTGCCACTCTGTCACACTATAATTAACATCTTGTCAGACTTTCTATTCTAAACCAAGATAAGCATCACTGAATATCTTGACTTTCAAAATTTCATGGGACTGAAATTTTCTATTCAAGGTGTCAGACGTAGTTAAGTCATGGTTAAGTTGTAGGTGTTATCCTCTCAGGTCAGGGGAGGACACGAGGCTTTTATTTAGTGTCGCTTTGTGTTAGCATTATTTTATTGATCTCTTTTTATATTATAGGGTAACGACATATTAAAAAGCTGAAGATCGGGTTGTGTTTATTACGTTTCCATCAACTATGTTCACGTACATTAAGGTCATATTTCTTAATTGCCCTGTAGTTCATTGTAGAATTAGGTAGCAATAAAGTTGTGGATTATTTATTGTATGTATACGTGCATATGTGTATTTGCATGTGCTCATTGGTCTTACCCAACCAAATATGGTCACATGTTTGCCTGGCAGGGTATGTATCCTACGAATATGAAAATGAACAAGCAGACAGATAAAGTGTTTTTGCAGGTCCAGGGCAAAAGAGCAGAAGCCCCAACTTTCTGGTCTGATCTTTCCCCTTTGCCATTAGAACTCACTGAAAAATTTTATGTGGTCCCCAGCATCAGACCAGCTTTACAAACGCTGTTGAGTCGTAAGGACTCAGCATCCTCGAACCCTCTCCTGACAACATCCTTAGCAATGGTGTCTATTTAGCTAGTGCCTGTGATGTTCCAGGCCTGTATCAATATCCCTTATGTAATATCCCAGTTAGATATTATCTCCATCTAGAGATGAAGACATTGATCCTCAGAGAGTAGGAGACTTGGTCAGGGGAATGTATATAGTGAGTGGTCAGCTAAGTTTTAAACTTTTATTGTCTTTTTTTTAATCGTGGTAAGAACACTCAACATTAGATTTTCCCTCTTCATGAATTTTTAAGTGCACGCTCCAGTATTATTAACTTTAGGCACAATGTCACACAGCTGATGTCTAGAGCTCATTCATCTTGTATAACTGGAACTTTATACCTATTGGATAGCGACTCCCCGTTTCCCACTCTCCAACCCTCTGGCAACCAGGATTCTGTTCTGTTTCTATGAGTTTGACTGTTTTAAATACTTAATATATGTGAAATCACACAGCATTTGTCCGGTGCCCGGCTTATTTTACTTAGCATAACATCCTCCGGATTCATTCATGTTGTTGTATATGGCAGGGTTTCCTTCTTTTTTGAGGCTGAATAATTTTCTATTGTGTATTTATATGACATGTTCTTTATTCATTTTTCAATAGGCACCAGGGTTATTTTCATATCTTGGCTATTGTGAATAATGCTGCAATGACATGGGAGTGCAGATGTCTCTTCTAGATCCTAGTTTCAGTTCTTTTCCATCTAGACCCAGAAACCGGATTGCTGGATTATATGGTAGTTCCATTTTTAAGTTTTGGGGAACCTCCATATTTTTTTGCATAGTGGCTGCACCATTTTACAGTCCCACCAACAATGTGCAGATGTTCCAAGGTCTCCACATCTTTGCCGACACGTGTTATCTTTGTTTTGTTTAGTTTCATAATAGCAATCCTAACAGGTATAGAGTAATATCTTGTGATTAGATCTTCTTTTTCCCTGATTATATCTGATTCTAAAATCATGTTTTACTCATGCTTTCATACTGCCCTCCCTTAAACCCACTTTCACATTTTCCCAAGTGTCTTCTTCTGTGCTTTGTCACGTTAACAGGATCACAGGAAACACAAGACCCAGGAGCAGGTCCAGATGTCCGCCCCCAAAAGTACAAATCGCTCCCTTCTTCCATTATTTTAAGTTGCCAGTAACTATTTCCTTCAAATCAGCCCTTGATGTGTATATTAACAGTAGATATGAAAGAAAGCCACAATTGAAGGGGCCGTTTCTATTATCAGGCTGTGCAAGAGAAAGAAGAAACACTCACGTTGGACGCTCTCCTTCTCTCTAGTGGTTAACTGAAGTCAAAGAAATGTGTGGTAGTATTGACTTTCTTATTTGGAGCTAAAAAATATATTTTCCAAAGTTGTTTATGTTTTATGTTACATATCAAATTGAACTTTGAATGACTTAAACAGAAAATAAGTTGAATAATTCTGGAATTAAAAATAGGACTCAGTCTGATGACTTGGGATTCTAAGCGTGGTGCTTTGATAGGTCGGTGCTTTTGTTTGACCGTGAGGGAAGTAGGAAAAATGATGTGGTATAGACTGACTCTAATGCTTTTCATTATGAGATTTCGATGCAGGACAATTTGTGTCATTCTTGAAACACCATGAATTATGAAACTTTAATCAAAATATCCTTCGAGGGCCATGTTAATTCTTGTTCCTACAAATCAGTGACATTACTAAGAGGAAGTATAATCTTTTTTTTTTCTTTAGGTCTTTTAATATGTATGCTTTACCTGCTTTCCTTCTTCATGTAGACATCCTGATGACTATCAAGATGATGTGTGTGAGAATAGGAGAATTATAGTATCTATCAGACCTGTCACACCATCATCACCATTAACAACCTAGGTTTACAGGAAAGTTCCTGTTATTTTTTTGTTTTTTTTTTTATTTGCCAGATTTTTTTTATTCAAATACAGTTAATATACAGTGAATATTAATGTCAGGCATACAGTATAATGATTCAGTAGTTCTGTACATTACTCAGGGCTCATCATAAGAAGTGTCCTCTTCCACTTGAAAGTTGCTTTTAATATGAAATAAATATTTTTCTTTCAGATATGTTATACTTGATGGGGAACTGGACCTAGAATCACCAAAACCTAAATTCAGTTCCCTGCAGTACCTCCGGTTAGCTATATGACCTTGAGCAAGTTACTTAAGTTAAACGTTAGTTGCCTGTCAGTTGTAGGGATTATTACCCCTGCAGGAGACTGCAGTGCAGACCAGACTTACTGGACATGAACACCTTTGCCCACTTGACAGCACTGGATTACTATATGGTATCATCACTTCCTATTTATTTCGACTTTGGAGTGATATTTGAAATACAGATACATTGTTTTTTGCTTCATTTGAATATATATGTTTGAAAACAGTAAATTGTGCTGTAAACTCTGCTGATTAAACTTTTATTATTTATTAAACAGCTGCATTTCCAGACATATTTTCAAAAGCCTTTAAATGACTTTCAACATTCCCAAAGCAGATTTAATTAGAGACAATTTATTTAGAGGCCACTAAGTGGGAAAGGGCCACTTACGACAGATAAAATCACAAAACATTTTAAAAATAGGTTGCAGTGAATTCTCGGGCTGGCAGGCTTTTGAGAAACTGTTATTGGTGCCCTACTGACATCACAAAGTCATCTATAATGTATGCTGAAGGTGGTGGGGATAAAATTGAAGAGACAAACATTAGAAAACTAAATTCTAATAGAGAATATAATACATAGTCTGTAAATGAAAACTGTGTCGTGTCATCATGGCTGCATGGCAAGACACCGCAAAAAAAAAAAAAAAAAAAAAAAAAAAAAAAACAAAACTCCCTCAAATTGCCAAGGAACATGATGCACCTATTGACTCTAGTGGGAGTTACGAAGTTGTGAGAATTATGGATGCTGTTGATTTTGGTGATTCGGAGACAGTGAGATCCAGGAGAAAGATCAACAGACTTGAGAAATCAGAATAGTCAGATTTGATTCCAGCTCAGCCACTTCCAAGCTGTGAGCTTGGTGAAAGCTCTCCAGGTGTTCTTCACGAGATCATCCGGAGTGCCATGAAATCACACGGAACTGTCTTTGCAAGCCCTGCAGGTGTCTCATAAGTAGAAAATGTGGCCTCTTCTCTGTACCGTATCCTGACAGAGACTTCTAAAAACAAGCAAACAGACATCTCCGTATCACAAATATCCTAAAAACTTCGGTGAGAGCCACACAGTTCCTCCGTCCTTGTGCAGCACTCCCACTGTTTCCATTTCTTCTTTGCGTCTCTCTGCCTTGCTACTTCCCACAGGATTAGCTAGAGGAGCTAAGCACCTTCTTAAACCTGGAGATTCATGCTTTCTCGTTCTTCTTTGGTTTCTCAAGCCAAGAAATTTGCAAGGCCACCGAAGTCTTCATGTGCCCTCTCTGTGACAAGAACTGCTCGCTGCAGAGACTCAACGAAAGCTGTATCTATGCCAAGGTGAGTGGATCCTCGCATTCTCCTTCCTGAGCTCTACTTATTCTCAGAAGCAGATGGTAAGAAGTCCTCCAAACAGAGTTAAGTGTTCTCAAGAGTTTCGACAATCAATATTCATTGACAACTGAATAGACCATCACTCTGCAGCAGTTACAAAATGAGTACATTTTTATTTGAATATTTTGGTCTTCCATTGTTTTTATAACTGATTTCTGTCTTTAATGGACATAAACTTCTACTTGAAATGACTTCTAGATTCTTTTTATGAGAAGATAATGGTTTCTATTCCTAATTAAGTTTGTGTCTTCCATGAACACTCATTACAGTATTCTCAATTTTACAGAGAAAAGGAAGAAAAATACTAAAATTCTCGAGTTGCTGCCTATTAGAATCACCTGAAGGGTTTTTTTAAACTTCTGAAGCCCAAGCCACCCACCAGAGCAACTGATTAAGTCAGTACCTTTGGGTTTGGAACCTAGACATTAGTGTGTTTTATAACATCTCAAGTGATTCCAATGTGCATACAAATTTGAGAAACTGAATTTACAATGATTATTGTCTACCTGTTTTATTGAAGTTTAATTAATGTGTAATAATATGCACACATTTAAAGTGTATAAATCGATACATTTTGACATTATAAATGCACCTGTGAAACCATCACTACAGTCAAGATGATGAACATGGAATCACTTCCAAAAGTGTTCTCACGGCCTCTTGTGATCTTGGGCTCCCACCCCTTCCCAATTCCACTACTGTGCCTAGGCAACCAACTATTTTCTTTCTTTACAGATAAGTGTGTATTTTCTAGACTTTTATGTAGATGGAATCATACAATGTGTGTGTGTGTGTGTGTGTTTCCTGGCTTCTTTTGCACAGCGTAATTATTTTGGGATTCATCTATGTTGTAACACTTATCAGTAGATCATTTCTCTTTATTGCTGAATAGTATTCATGACACGGCTCTACCAGAATTTGCCTATTCATTCTGCCATTAACGGGCCTGTGGGTTGTTTTGAGTTACCATTTTACATAAAGCTGCTCTGAACGTTCACCTATAGATCTCCCTATACACAGGCACTGTTAGTTCTCTTGGATAAACCCCTAAGAGTAAAATGACTAGATTATATGATAGGTGGATGTTTAACCTTCTGAGAACTGCCAAAATGTTTTCCAAGGCATTTCTTCCATGTAACATTCCCGTACGCAGCATATGAGAGTTCCAGTTTTCCATAGAGTCACTAATCCTCAGGATGGCCAGTCTTTTTTAATTCTAACTATTCTAATAGATATGTAGACATATTGCGATTTAGTTACTTGGAAATCATTCGGTCCTTTTGGGTCTCACTTTTAAGATTTGTAAGCCGGATTCATACCCACATTTATTGATTTCTAGCCACACTCGGCTCTCCAAGAGAAATCAGATGTCAAACATAATGGAGAATGTGTGCTTAAACATAGTTTTGTTTGAGGCTCAGTTTGCTTCTGTCTTTATATATTTTTCCTACTCACATCAGCAATGTTGAATAAAATGCTTGTTCATAGGTCTCCCTATGCATAAAAGCAAGCTATTTTTTCTCATAAAATAATTCATTGCAAATACGCACTTGTAGCTAGGACAAGCTACCTCTTGCTTTTGGAAAAGCCTATTATGTTGCTTTGGGAATTTCCTTGAGATTTCATCTGGGGCTTTCATTTATTGGGCAAGAGTCCCTTTCCTATTAGGCAGAAGGCCTCTTCTCCCTTTATTATCCTGCCGGATACCCATAGCCTAAGCTTGAGCCATCCATGCCGTGCTGGACTGACTCTTCCTTCTCCCTCCTGTTATTTTTATTCAACAGCTTGTATATCAGCACCTTAAATGAAACTCTTAAACACCTCCAGCTATAACCACAGGCTTAAAATTGTTCTTCTTAGGTCCATGGCCTCCCAAATCATAGCACATCCCACTTGTTATATCTTAGTGGCTCTAAAATAATGATTTTGTACTTTTATACTCCTCCTTAGGGCAAGCTCTGAAGTTTTCCATAACTACTATTTTAGCTGTATCTCCCATTAGATATACGTAATCTCACATTACGTGAGTATTACATGTATGCCTCACTGTGTCTCATGGATGTGTTTCTAAAAAAAAAGTCAATGTTTAATTTATTGAGTAAAAAAAAAATGCCTGAAAGATCTGTGAGCAAACTTAGAAGAATAAAAATGAAGAGCTTTTTAAGGGAAACGTTGCTTAACCTATGACAGATCGTATACATGCAATGCAATTATTGGTAAGCATGGCTTTTTATTTAGGCCTTTTCTAAAGGCACTGCTGTTTCTGGAGTAGGGGAGAGCCATTTTATCCTGGTGACCTTTAAGTCTCCATGTGTAAAGTCTCTGTAAGGACTCTGCAAGAGCCTGTTTGCTTCACTAGGTCTGTCATGAAGGAAAGCAGACAGCTGTTCAGCTGCTTGGCGGCAGCAGGTGTCTCTGTGGGATGCCTTTAGAAACAAAAACGCTGGATTCTCCTGCTGGGTGTAATTTTATGTAGAGCTCTGTAGAGAATTTCTTTATGGCCACTTTCTCGCCGTTATGTAATACATGGTGGTTATTGTTGTGAAAACCGATTCTTACGACGTTTTTAGAAATCCCAAGTCTTCACGGTCATAGAAGTTTAAGGCCAGTTAGGACATCTTGCACCTGTCCACAAACCTTCCAAAGGAGCATGTTTTGTATGATGATATTTTCAGTAATGTTTTATTTTACAGGCCGACACACCCTACCTTTATCTGTTTTATATATTGTTGGGCTGTGTGTCCCAGATGTTACAATTAAAATGCACATTGATATTCTTTTGCTGCACTCATTGACCAGCCTCTAGACTGTAGACTGTGCAAAGAGGACACCATTCTATTCCCACTTCCCTTATAATAATGTTCTTTAGCCCCGAATTGGCCTTTCTCTCCTGTGAGAATAGCGTCCCTATTTTTCCTGTACTTTCTATGGTACATGTATGGCCACCGAACGAATGTTACCTTGGCCGTATTGGTTTAATATCCCTCACTAGTAGTGTAAAATATAAATAGAGTGAGGGCATTATGCAAATGAAAAGAAGCAAAGGTAAGTTGAATTTTTAATTTATTATAATCAAACAGTCCTTGCAGCCCTGCAGCCCTTCAGTAACATCATATAACTGTACACTGTTCTTTATAAAAATTCAGATCATGTCTGATTCAAAAAAAAAAAACACTTGGACTATATCCTAAATGTTTAGTGATATATGAAACTTCTTAAAAATAATTGTTGCTGCTGTTGGACCCTATGGCACATTCTAAGAGATGTCAGAAAGTCAGGCTAGCACTGCCATACCTTTCCATTGGAAGCACTGGCTCCCTGGCATAATTCTGCATTTTGCAACTTCCTCAGTCCTGGAAGTTTCTCTGACAGTATAACTAGGTATGCCTCAACTGAAAAGCTAACTTTTTAGTTTTTTAAAATATTTTATTTATTCATGAGAGACACAGAGAGCGAGGCAGAGGCACAGGCAGAAGGAGAAGGAGGCTCCCTGCGGGGAGCCTGATGCAGGACTCAATCCCAGGACCCCGGGGTCACGCCCTGGGCTGAAGGCAGACGTTCAACTCCAGAGCCCCCCAGGTGCCCTGAAAAGCTAACTTCAGCTTGACAATCCATGGCTCACAAATACTTCCTCAGGGTCCTAGAACCACTTCTTAGCAGAAATGAAGACCAAAGGGAAGAAAAGGGAAGAAAGAAGAAATGGGGGAAATGTTGAGAGTCCTCCCCTCTCCCCATGAGCAAATCAAATGAAACCGTTTTAGGACCCATGAAAGGATCTCATATTGTCTATTTACAAGCCACAAAATAGTGTGATTCCATTGGGAAAAAAAAATCATAGAACTTAAAATGTGGACTATAATCACTAGATTATTGTAATCAATATGTGACTAATATTTTTGCTTTATTTTCCATTAAGGTGACATACTTGTTTGATAATGGAGGCACAGTCTTCTTTGCTATTTTTATGGCAATATGGGGTAAGTATGTTCTGTTACTTAATTGCTTAATTGCTAGTCCTCATGTTCTGAGGCCCTTGCTGTGTTTCTTCTCACGCGCGCATGCACAAACACACACACACACACACACACACACACACACACACACACCGTGTGTAATTCAACTCTCGCTCTGTTTGCCCTCTTCACACATTCACTGATTCTTTGGGAATTTAACTCTTGCTCTAATCCTAAAGCCTGTGTCTTCCTATACTAAGGAGAACATTTTCCCTGCCAAAAGCAGGTGATGATTAAAAACAAACTGAAACATGCTAAAATCCAAATTACGCTGCGTGTACTTCTGCGTGTAAAACCGATGCTCAAGAAATTTTTCATCTGCGTAATATTTCTCTTTGTCTATTTGTTTAACCTATACTTTATACACTTAGAGATACAGGATCTATTCCATATATGATTAAGCAATAATATCTAATACACAATAACTCTTGTTCTTATTTAACATCTTAAAACTGTAGAAATTCTGTACAGGTATATGCTCTGGTTGACTTTTTTTTCACCATGCTTCCCATTGACTCTTTAAAGCACCCAATTAATTGATTCCAAACTAACTCAGGTTAGAAGTCCCCACCCTTTGAAGAGAAGTGAGGCCCTTCCTGGTTAGAGTCAGCTTTCCTACCATTATCCTGTTAGATGCAAAGTCATTGCCAGCTTGGCACTTCCAGGGGCTGACCGTGTGTGTGCTTGCTGATACAGGGAAGTAAAATGGACTAGAGTACAAATGTCCCACGCCCATTTCCTTGATTTCCCAGGAACAGAAACTCCATATAATCTCTCTCTTGTTTAAGTCAAAAAAAATTTTTTTAAAGATTACTGTTCCAGTTTTCCCTCAAGAGAATGCCAATCTTGGTGCAATTAGGACAACAGGGTTAATTAAGTCATCAGGCAGGGCAATCACCGTGAAGCCTTTTAGTTTCACCTGAATCCCACAAACATTTCCCACTAAGAATAAAAGAGACCAAAATACAAATTGAGGTTACTCGATAGATGATTCAGCGCAGCCAAAAACAGTAAGAAAGGAAACCTTTTAGATGATTTATCCTCTACGTGTCTGCTACTAAGTCTCATACTTTTATAGTTCTCCTTGGCACAGCCACATGACAGTGATCTTGCTTCAGCTTTTGGAAGATGGGTTTGTGAAAAGCCTAGGATGTAGGCGATCGTTTGCCGTCAGAAGCCTTTTTCCCCTTAGTTCTATACCGAGGTACGAAGTTGAGGTATGTCATCCATAGGAATGCCGTCACGTGCGTTTTCTTGGCCTGCTGGCACAGATGAATCATTCACAGTTGAGTTGTAATAACTAGAATTCCCAAAACTCGCGTCATAAGGTTCTGGTGCATTGTCTAATCGCAGAACTAAAAAAGCAACAACAAAAAAAATTATCTTATGGTGACAGTCTGGAAGATGCATGCGCAGGCATCCTATAGCCCAGACTATAGGAATTGTTCTAGATGAGTAACTGAGTAAGGACATCTTTTGTCTGGGCTTTGCAGAGACTGGTCTTGAAGTCTTAAATAAGTATATATTTTTCAAGATACATTTCCTTTTAAGACTAAGAGAACAGTCTGACTTCTAAAATGATTTCATTGCTGGTGGACCAAAAATAGAGGAACTAAGGGAGAAGTCACAACAAAAGCAGAGCCGTACTCTGTGTGGAGAAGGACAGACGTGTGTCTCATTGACTTTTGAATCTTGTGAACTCAGAGCCTTGTCAACACCTCCAGAATTTTTACTTCTGGTGTAAAAAAATAGCTTTTAAAAATTGAAGAGCACGAATCTTCAATCAGTGTCTTTATGGTTGAGCCAGGGAAGATGGAGATGGATGAAAACAATCTGTAAAACCTTATGTTTCCTCGTGATGGATCCTAGTTACCATCCACTTGACGGTCTTTGATTAATGGTATAGGATTCTGTTTTACTATTTCAACGAACTGCCAATTATTACTTCCTTAAAGATCTTGAATTGATCTTCAAAGAAAACTTGGTGCGTAATTGGTATCTCTAAATTCTAAAGCTGTGACTAATTACTAATTAGATTAGTGATTTAATTATTCAGTTAGGTATTCTCATACCCTACCTATTCTTGAATTCTTCTGTTTATTGACCGGGGGCCCAGAAACCTTAGAGATTTGGGGGAGGTTTCTCAAAGCTGTCTGGAAGGAGGAAGACAGGTGGTATGATTGAGTTATTCCCTTATGCCTCATCACAACATCTTAGACTGTATCAGTTTGATTGACTGAGATTTTGCCTGTGATTACAGACAAAGAAAAGATTCTAGGGTTTAAAAAAAAGTTTGGAAACCCCTGTTGTTTGAAATCCTATCCTTTAATTTTGAAAAGTGCCACTTCTTATTTTATATGGATTGCTAGAAACCCCCCAAAATAGAATTCAGTTAAATTTACAATCAGTGGATTTGGTTCCAAAGATGAGTAATGTCAGTCATGAACTGAATTTAGTGAAATCATTAAGACTTTACTGACAGGATGTACCAGGGGCTCTTGACTATTTTTTTTATGATGGCAAGAATCCAAAAAACAAACAAAAAAATGATGATTCCATTCTATGAAATTATTTCATTTCTGTTCTAATTGGTATTTATTAAGAACAAATCTAGTTGTTTATTCTTAGCAGATTCATTTCTTATTCAGAGATATCATAGATAGATCTTTCCATCACATGAATGAAAAGTTCCTGATCTATTGTGACTTTATAGACCCAAATACACAACTCCTTATAGATTCTGTTTTAGGGACTTGTTGAGACAATTGACGGAGGGCTCCTGTGTCTGCGTAAACCTTAGGAACTCCAAATTGGAGGAAGTCAGTGTTCAACCTACTGCTGCTAAGAGACCCAGCAATGGCAGAGAATATGGCTGAGCAGCTACTTGCTAACAAAACTGGCCACTTTTCCCTCCATAGCACACCATTATCTTCCAATTCTAGAGACATGTTTTAGGTTCTGGGATCTAGTTTATTTAAAACTAATGGTGATGCAATGAGCCACAGTTCCAACTGGTTTTAAAATTCCACCCACAGGTCCATACTTATTTTGGTGATGTTCTTTGAGAAACAGAGAGTAGATCAGAATAAATCTCTAGTCTGTTTCCATCATGTGACTCTCCAGATCCCTTCTAGATAACGTAGCGAACATCAGCACCCTCATTTAATTAAAACCACTGCGAGCAGGTGAAGTTCTAAAAGTTGTTTTTACCTGGTTCGTTTCTGTCATCATAAAGTCGCCGATGGGAAAATGAATCCGTTTTCCTCTTTCCACACAGCAAGTAGCCAACAAGACTAAGCAATGAAGCACCCAGTATAGCACCTAAAATGGCCCCAAATACTACTCCTGTATTTTTATTCTCTAGAGAACAAAGAAAAAATAATTAACCGATAAAGAAAGAGAAAATAATCTTTCAAAGAAGAGAAACATACACATTGGACTTTCTTTATAACAAAGAATATTTAAACAGTATTTTTAAATTAGATAATGGTGATGTGTGTGTGTGTGTGTGTGTGTGTGTGTGTGTGTGTGTTTTATGAAGTACTGAGCATTTGGGATATATTGGCAAATGTGCCTCCCAATAAAACCGTACTTCGATTTTTTAATTACGTTGAAATACTTCTTAGTTTTAGAACTGTCTCTTATTCTTCTATTAACGACAGTAGTACTGAAATGCCATGTGTATGCTCCATTAAGACCTAATTTCTACATTAAGTGCTATATTAAGTTTTTAATCAACCCTGAATCTCTAATGAATGTTAATGATGCAATGAACTATGAGCTTGTTTCGATAATAACTGAAAAGTAAAACGCGAGTGGTGGGTGATAGAAAATGAATCCACAAAATCCCAACCAAAAAGGTGTTATAAGGGAAAAGCAGTGTATCCTGATACAGGGTATTTCTAGACACAAAAAGTAGACCAGAGTAAGATGTTTGCAGTGTCTCGCACGTTGAGAACAGAGGTATAGCTCTGGGTTTAAAGGAGTCCAAAATTTTACTCTATCATCCCTTTAACCAAGTACCTTACTTGAAGACTAAGTTTGTTATTAATAAACTACGCAATCCTCCCTGAACTCATATTTAGTGTGGTGTATTTTCAGTCTTTTAAAAATTTCATGAGCATGCTATTCATTAAGTGGAAAAGGGATCTTATAAAGTCTGTAATTCTATATTAAACTCCATTTATAAAAAAAATAACCTACACATTGGAAGCTTAACAGCAAAATTATTACTAAAATGAAAGCAAAGCAAAGTTACCTAATTTCCTTTTGATTAAAGAGCAATGGTGGCCGTAAGTGCTCAATATTCTTAATATGTATATTGAGTTTAGAGAGACAAAAGAGAGAGAATATTTATTAAAAATCTTTCTGATATAGGGTCTCCTAGGTGGTTCGGTCAATTAAGCATCTGACTCTCGATATTGGCTCAGGTCATGATCTCATTGTCATGAGACTGAGCCCCATGTGGGGCTCCATGCTGGGTGTGAAACCTGCTTAAGATTCTCTTTCCTTCTGCTCGCCCTGCCCCTCTCTTGCTCTCTCTGTCTCTAAAAAAAAAGAAAACCTCCGGATGTAGTATCCGAGTATGTCTGAATGAAAGGATGTGTTAAAATTATAGCTAAAATGAAAGTAGGTGTACATAAAATGTACTGCAGTGTTATTGTAAAGCCTAGGTATCAGAATTTAAAACTTTTCCTGTACACTGACAACTTTCAAGTAGGAATTTGTATATATGATTTAGTGTTTACATCATTAATATAATCTGGAAGTAAGTTGATTGGAAATCATTGACTTCATGGAGGAAATAAGTATTTTTTTTTGATTTCAGGGAAAAACAAATACCATATGATTTCACTCATATGTGGAATACAAGAAAAAAAAACAGATGAGCATAGGGGAAGGGGGTGCAAAAGAGGGACGCAAACAATAAGAGACTTTATGATAGAGAACAAACAAGTCTGATGGAGGGAGGTAGGGGAATAGGCTAGATGGGTGATGTGCACTAAGGAGGCCACTTGTTGTGATGGGCCCTGGGGTCTTATATGTAAGTGATGAATCACTAAATTCTACTCCTGAAACCAATGTTACACTATATATTAACTCACTAGAATTTAAACCAAAACTTAAAAAAAAAAATTGCAGGGAAATAAGAACTTGGGTAGACCTAAAAAAAAAAAAAAGATGAATTTTCATTAAATATTAGAGATATTTACTGCTTTATGTTTTAAAGCTTGACATAATCCATAAATGAAACATAAAATCTTCCTATAATACACTTTTCTTGTGATACTCACAGCTATATTCCATTTTTATGGTGTTCATTAGGTACTAAACTCAAAATCCAGGAGGACTTCCTTTTGTTGAGTTTATTTACATTTAAAACAATATATATCCATGTTCTGTTTTCCTGTGATTGCTATGTGGCATCAGAAATTTAAACATTCATTTATTTCAATCAGTTTTCATATGCATGTATTTTTGGAGTTCAGTTGCATATTATTCCTAAAAGCATGGGACGTTTCAGGTAGTTTTCTCAGATTCAATGAAAATCATTACCTGGTATCTCAAAACTGTACCACTACCTCAACCTAACCCACCTCTAATTTTGTCCTGCCATCTCATCACGTTCTATAGTGTAATGACTACTGCTGCCTGAAGCCCCGGAATCCCTTCACTATTTCCACCGAATATCATGGTTGCCCCCAGAAAGAGAGAACCACCTGTGCTACTGTAGTCTCTTCCTTTTTTTTTCCCTAATATAGCACATTCCTTAGATGTAATCTATATGACTTAGTTCAAGATGCAGTTTCACACTAGAGGAAAGTTAAATCCGTTTATATTTACCTTCTTGGGGGTCTGATGTGTTTGAGAAGATTTTTGAATTATTGGTAAACTTTAAGGTGGGCTGTAGAGTTGTTGTTTCTCGGTAGGGGGTGAACCCTATGAAGCTATCATTGGATGTGGTGAGCCACTCATCTGGTTCTGTTACCATGGGGGTCACAGTCATGGTGTTTGGTGCTGCAGGGAGGATGCTAACTGAAATGGAACTGTTGTCAGGAGTTTTCATGGTATCACTGGCTGAAGGCCAAGTGGACTTTTCTGAAGACATAGCAGATGTAGCATTGGGAGGTGCTGAGACTGGAGGAGGATTTTCATCTGCTATCGACGAGTTCCGAGGCAATTTAGAAACAAAGCTATGGATCAGAGGAGGGTCTGTGGGAAACATAGGCGTGGGTCTTAGATTCCCAGAAAAGTTGTTTGTTGATGCATTGTTGAAGACTTCTGTTGTTCCATGGTGTTTATCTGATGGATCCCAAAGAGAGGAATTACTTGCCTTGGGATTGGAGGTTTCTTTATTTTCTTTATCTGAGTTTGAATTTGTATCACTTTCCAAAGGAACAGATTCATTTTCCATTGTTTTTAAACCTGCTGCAATGCTTTGTGTTGTGGTTTTTTTTAGAATTTCTTTCCCGTGGCTTCCAATTAATAGTAAACTAAACAAATTTGAAATCAACAGAATTTTGACTGAGGTCAACATTGTAGTCTTTTCTTGTATTGGTGTTATTAAGGAGAATCTGAAAACAACAAAAAAAAAGAAAAGAACAGACATCTGAATTATTAAAGTAGTGAGTTTTTTTAAGCGGATCTACATCTTTAAAGTGATAAAAATCTTGAGATATAATACTGAATTGATAATACCATACCTTTATTCCAAAAGTTTGTTTTCTTTGGATTGTATACTAAAACAAGAGTGAATTCTATTTTCTATATGACATTTATTTCTTCTTTCTTCTAAGGAAATGCCATGCAAAAACTTTGTCAAGCCAGATGCCACTATTGTGCTATTTCAAAGATCATTTAGCTTGGGACAAGTTGACATACATACATATTTTTTCATATATATATATATATATGTGAAATATTATATATGGATTGCTAAGTAAGATATTATAAAATATAGGGCATGTAGAGCTGGTTGGTTTATTTTACCTGTTTAAGAAAATATGTTTTTTTTTTGTAAAGATGTAATTTGGAATATTTATTATGAGAATGATCTTGCCGGTTATACTCTAAACATACCACTTTAAAGTGAATCAGTGAGGACCTCCACTTGAAGACATTTTGTTAGTGCCTAATTTGAGTTATTTGAATTTTAAATTACCATCCCTTTTTTCACAATATTTTTCATGATGCCCTTCTTCCTATTGATCCCAAATTGGGGAAAATCAAGAAGACCCTCAGATTTCAGGATACTCTTTCCATGTAGTCCCTTATTATATAAATGAAGCATCTGGCTGGGAGCATGTGTAGAAAAAAATGACATAGCTAGATAGTAGCAGAGTTGGGGTTGAAACCCTTCCTGGTCCAGACCTTTAATCCAGGCATTATCATTATGCCTCTGAAATGGGGAAGTGCCACAATTCATAGGTAGGAGGATGTGGGGAAAAGATTTTAAAATTAGAGACTTATATTAAAATTCTGAATGAATAACTGTGAAAATAATCATCATAATAAGCAGTGGCTTTATCATCATCATCATCATCATCATCGTAAACGTCCTCACTTCTCAGTGTTCTGAGGACTAAATGAAATGACGGATGTGGAAGTACTATAATCAACACCGGGCCCAAAGTAAGCGGCTAATAGACTTAACCTCCATTTTTTATTATGAAAATACAATAATATTTCTGTAAGAGTCTTACAGTTCAAAAAGTTGGCGATGTCATCTCACTTGATCCTCACGGTGATCCCTTGCAAAGGGATTGCTTACAGTTTGCAAAGGAAGAGACTGAGGTTCACAGTGGTTAGTAATGATAGCTGGTGGGTGGACGAGCAGCCTGCAGTCCAAGTCTGTGGACTTCAACCTAGTTGGATGCCAACATTGGAAACATCTTTGATATAAAAAATATCCTCTTAACAATGTTAGACTATTCCCCTCAAACAATAAAGCCTGAAAATTGATGTTCTGTTCTTTGAATTGGATCTTAGAACTTATTTTTTCTTAAAAGATTCCAGAATGACTAAGAAAAGGGGGGATGTGCGCTTGCTATTTTTAAGATCCAGTAATATCTGGCGTTTCTTAAAAGCTCTCCCGGAAGTGTTTACAATTATGTTCAACCTTGATGATTTTTCATTAGAGTCTGGGGGGCCTCTAAATAATCCCTCTGATTTTCTTTTGGATTTAAGTGCCCCCTCCCTGCTTAATGGTATCTTATATAGGGGGACAACTTAAATATATTTATAATACATCCTGATATAGATTTCCTTCAGAAGCTTTTAGAAATATAATACATCCCGTGTCCTATGCTTATCACTTTAAAAAACTCTACTTAAAAAGCAAGGCGGGGTCACCTTGGTGGCTCATGGGGTTGGGCGTCTAGCTCTTGGTTTTGGCTCAGGTCATGGCCTCATGGGTCCTGAGAACGAGCTCTGCCTCCGGCTCCGCCCTCAGTGAGGAGTCCCCTGGAAGATTCCATCCTTCTGTCCCTCCCTCTTCCTCTAAAATGGTGGGAAGAAGTTCTAAAAAGCATTTTACATTCCCTGGAAGTCCCTCCACCCCTTGACCCCCCACCCCACCCCACACACCACTGATACTGTTTCTTGATCTTGTAGAAACCACACAGGTGTTTGTATTTGTGATATTGTGTGTTTATATGTCATTCACTTTTCCCTGATAGCCAAGAAAATGGGAGTGAGATCCTGAAACTCATTACCACACCTGGAAAACATCACTCCTCTGCTTTTGTCACATCAGACGCTTCACGCGTTTTCTCACTTAATTCTTACCAAAAACAATCAAACAGACCATGAGGAAGGGATGATCCATCCTGTTTCACACAGAGCTAAATGGAGCATTAAAACTGTCCATGATGTGAGGCCAGGAGTGAAGCCTACGACCCTTGGCTTGGGGGATGGGAGGGTGATGTCAGGGTGGTGGGATGGAGCCCCACACAGGCCTCTGGCTCAGGCAGAGTCAGCCTGGGACTCTCGCCCCTGCCCCCGGCCCGCCGCTCTCTAAAATAAAAAAATAGGGCTTAAGGAAAAGTGTCCTAGGACTCAGAGTGGTGACTGAGAGGCATTAAAGCTTCATCATTCATCCGTGTAACGGAAATTTCAAAGGAATGCAGAAATTGGTTACGAGAGCATATAGAACTTAGGTGCTTCTTAGAACTTCTTCCCACCAACACTTGTTTTTAGTACAGCTTCTCCAAACTTTGCTATTTTACCCAAAACCCAAAGCAGTTTAGAACACCAATATTTTAAACCCATGGAAAAAGCAGGCCTTCTACCGTACGTGCCCCTCAGACACACTAGATGCACCTTTATCCCAATTTCAGAAAATCCCGACAATTGTCTATGATTCTAGGTGGACACCTGTCGTGCTTAGTTCGCACAGTAACAAATCCGAGGCTATCGTCCCCAGGACGTGCAGCTCACGACACAGTATCAGGCTGACGACTCACCCAGCTTAACAACGCTGGCAGGTGTCTTCTCAGAAGCCCCCTTCTGTGAACTCTGGCGAGTTCACAGCCCTTTTTGACGCTAATTCCATCATCTGATTAGATTTATGGATTGCACTTGGCCACCCATTGTGTCGTCATTACACATTTGGATGGGCTTTCCCTTAGTGGCTGTCCTCGCTTCCTAGTGAAGTGGTCACCGGGAGGGGGAACAAGCAACCCTTAGCTGTTCCAGTTTTCTCGTGTTACATGAGCTTTCACTCCCTTCCCGTAACCAGAATCCACGTACCGAGAGCCAGCAAAGAGAGGTTGTTTTTGTTCCTGATTCACTTTGTAACACGGAACCTCCAATGGGATCTCCGTCCCCCTCACCCAGCTCTTGATGGTAACTTGAAAACCTAAGGTATGAGCACCCCAGTGGGCCCGGCCTCCTCTTACTGCCTGTGATCTGTCTCCAGGGAAAGCAGAGAGGGGGAGCAGAGAACGATGCTCGAGGTGAATACCGTGTGCTCTCCATTCCAAAAATAATAGAGCTGTGGGGGAGGCTTTGTGAGCATGGCTTTGCTCCCGCCCTCCCGGGACCGCTTGGCCTCTGCGCCTCGGAGAGAAGCAGGGGCCACCTCTGGCTCAGGGCCCTTCATCTAACAGGGAGGGAAGCAGCCAGGAATTGAAACCACCCACTATTCAGAACCCCAGGCCCGGGGCTTCTGCTGGGCAAGGACTGGGAAATTCTGGTCAAGTCCAATCCCATTCCGAATGGAACAAAACCCATCAAAACCCATCGTAAGCTGCAGAGGTCATGGAAGGGGCACAGAAGCTCTGAAGGGCAATGAAGGAAATCTGTGCTCTTTCTCCCTTAACACTCCTCCCGGCCTCTCTCCATCGCTGGAGTTTCAGTGTCTAAAGTATGTTGTGTTTTTGTGATGGAAAGTTGTGCTGGACGACGGGGGCCTGCCTGCGTGCACCCAGGTGCATCGTCACCCAGCTTGCCCTGTGGAAGCAGATGGAAGCGGGAGGAAGGACAGGTGCACAGGCGGAGGGGCGGCCAGGAGAGCCGGGGGCACCGTGTCCCCTCCGGTTCTTCCTGGCCCTTCCGGCCCCTAGGGCGGCACCCAGGGAGCAGTAATAGGGCATCGGAGCAGGGCGACGATCATTACAAACCTGGGGAGCTTCTCAGATTAGAATTCTTAGAAGGGGAAGAGAAAGGAGGGAGGGGACGATTCCCACCTACTTGGTGATACTTTAAGCACAGATTCTGGACATTTCTGCGTATATTGAACCACGTTTATTGTTTCTGGTGTCTACCAAATTTTAGAATATGCTTTCAGAGGGTGCGAGTGACATGGGTCATTATGGTTTTTTTCTTGAGTGATTACCATATGCAGAGAGCCAACGAACACGATTTTGTCGCGTTTTTGGTGTTGGCACCAGAAAGTGGTTTCACGTTAGGCCTTTCGTATGCGGGCTGCAGAGGTCGGGAAGAGAAAAACAGGCATGGCCATGAAGGGGAGCAACCCCAGAGTCTGTGCATGACTTCGCTTCCCCCTAAGTGCACAAAGTCATCCTTCTGTCCAGCCTTCCTGCTGTACCCGAGTCAGTCGCATTTTATATCAAGCTTTAAAAATAATGTGGCGGCCTGGCTTGGAACAGGTGATCAACCTACGCAGGGGAAGGACCGTGCGAGCTATTGGCAAGTCCATCAAGCCCTGGGCATTACAGCGTTGGTTCAGGTACACTGAAGGGAGGCTGCAAAGACCTGTTGCTGCAGCGAAATACTAAACAGTCCGTAGTCCGCGCTGCTCTCAGTTGCACTCGCTTGTTTCCTATTACAGATCTCGGGCTGCAGGTTAGACAGTCGGGGACTGTTTCTCTTTGCCATAGGAGATCCGGTGTGACATTAGCCGACACCCCAGGCAGGCCACCGCGTGCTACTCTCGCGTGGCCTTTACAGCCTTGAACAGTATTTGGCTTTTCCGAAATGAAAGAGCCCCAGTAAGGGACATAACGAACCATGGAATGTCTCCTTCATAAGAGGGTCTTGAGAGGATGAAAAGACTCAGTGGCCCAAAAGGAGGCTTGGACCTGAGGACCTTAGGCATATCAGTTCTCTTCCATTTGACTTAAAAAGGAAATAAGAACAGTACTTTCCTTCAGGGGAAAAAAAAATACAAAAACCAGCAACAACAAATTCCAAGTTTGTGAACATAATTCTAAGTAAAAGACTGGGGTATGCATAAATGCAGGAAAAGTACATAGAATGTCATGGCCCCTGCTACTTTGAGCATTGTTCATCATGAACTCCAGTCCTTTTTTTTTGTTTTGTTTTGTGACCTTTTTTTTTTTTTTTTTTTTGACATAATTAGGTGGGAGAGCATCGGGCTCAGAGACTCAGAAAGAAAGACTGTGTCCAGAATATTCTGGACCCAAATTCCCAAGCCTGGGGTTCTGAGCCTCCTATTATATTCCACCGTTGGTGAAAAATACCTCAATGGATCTGCTAGAAAGTGCTAAGCAGTGACTCAACACCCCTTTAATCAAAGGAGTCTTACGTAGCCACAAACTGAAAATGATCTTACGAAACTTTATTTTCACCTTCCTTCCTTGCATAAGGTGTGCTCCGTGGCACCTGCCGTGGCCACGCAGACTCCCAGGCGGTGCCTGGCCTGCACACGTACCACGCTGTGTGACCTGGATGCATACACGACACTTTGCCAGTTTTCTGGTTAATGAAACCTTTGGAAAAGATGCATAGAAGCTTGTGATCCATCGTGTTCAGAGAGTATTTTTCAAGACCTGTCATATTCCAGTACCTTGGCAGGAAGCTCGAAGCCCGAAGGCACGATTCAGAGCTCAGTGATCAAGTCGTACCTGTGCACCCCCACTTTAAACGTCGCGATGCTGTTCCTAAGATCTGACCTGAGGCAGCTCTCTCCAGTAGTCATGTACACTTTAGGTAAAGTTTGTCTTTCACTCTCAAGCTGGTTTCATCATCGAGCGAACCTGGCCATGACCCATCAGGCTAGGTCACTTGGGGCAAGTGCCCGCTGGGAAGGCGGCTCCCCGATGAAACAGCTCCCCACTTTGTCGGGGTCCCCGTGGCCACTTGCCACACTGCCCCGTGCAGGTGAGCCAGCTTTGATTCTCTGTGGCAAGTACAGAAGGAGGAGGCAGGGAACAGAGGAAAGGGGAGAGGGGGGAGAAGTGGGGGAGCCCGCAGCACCCAGTCCACACTTACCTCCAGGTCCTGGAGGCTGTCTCCAAGCAGGAACCCCAATATCCCAGACGGCGTCCTGGCTCGAGCGAGCCTGCCGAGCTCGGAGGGAGCGGGTGGGTCAAGTGTGACTGTCCCCCTGAGCCCGAGAGTGTGCGACCAGCAGAATGAGGCGCAGCTGGCCGAGCCGCTGGGGTAATAGAGCACCAGGAACCTGACCGACCTGCTTCTCAGCTGGCAGCATGAAGCTATCACCTCATTCAGACCTTAAAAAAAAAAAAAAAAAAAAAAAAAGAAGTCCAACCCTCCAGGTTTCATAGGTTGGTTGTTTTGACTCTGGGGCAGGCCGGATCCCTCGAGCAGCGGCAAAACAAGGGGCATCCATGCCCCTCCCTAAATGGAATGGGGGGGGGACAGAGCCTTTGCTAGTGTCACCTGGTGTGTCAGGAATCTGTGGCACGTGCCAGATTCGCCCTTCGCAGGGGAAGAAACCAAAGTGTCCCCTGCCCTGCACCTGCCGCCCTGGGTGAGCCCCGAGTCATTCTCGATGTGCGGCAGCTGCGAGGACAGGGCCCCGGGACCGTCACAGACACCCGCGCTGCCCACCAGGTGGCCCCCGCAGGTGGCACCTGCAGGGATGCTGCGACGGGGTGCTGGACACAGGTGGGCCCTGGCTGCCCTCAGGAGCTGGGGAAGCCCGAGAGCCTTCTGGATGAACCAGCATCCGTGCTGGGCTCTCTCTGCTTTCGCTCTCAGTGTAGACGCTGGAGTGTTTCAGAAGTGCCCAGGGAACGCCTGATCAGATGCCGGACTTGGATGACCACCCTGGCACGCTTCCTTCACTTGCTTCCAAGGCTTCTTATGAAAGGGAGCCCTTTCTGGGAGCTTCTGCGCACTAGAATTTGGGGCCTGGCGCCAAGGCCCGTTCAGCTCAGCGCGGCTGAGGTTCAGGCTTAGTTTCTGTCCTGCAAGGGGGGAGGTTTCCCATTGCTGGGAGAGAAACGAATCTGTAGCTCAAGTCCAGGAGCTTCAAACTGAATGCAAAGAATGTGCCTGGTTAATTGGCCCTGGGAAAGTACAAGGTAATGCTATAGTTTTGGATTTTCTGAAGCCCAAAGGCCCCTTCAGAGTTTGATTAAGAAAGTAAGCCAACCCCTTAGGGGGGAAAAAATGTTTACTCAAAGGAGATTTAAGCTGCATCTGCACTGGGGCGATGAAAAGCAAGTTGGTTGTAGTCAAACAGTTGGTTACTGAGCAAAGGCTTGATGGAACTCGGTTAGTTGTTTTCAGATTTTCGGTTACTAGGAAAAAAATCCAGCTGACACAATATTTTCTGTCTACGTAGAGATCTGAACATGACTTGGCAGGGCTGGGTGTGCTGGGCCCCGAGGGGTTTTCCTAGATATGTGTATGAATAGCATTACCACTTTCTGACTCGACCCTAGTAATTACGGCCTATGCCAGGCGCGGAAATTACCAGGTGCTTCTGCTACAACCCTCTGCTTTTGCTGCATCAGTCAAAGCTCCTCTCCCACGGCCTTCTTTTCTGGAGACTCTGCCTGTGGCCTGAGAATCCCCTTCACCAATTGATGAGAAACGACCCCAGAGATAACCCCTACTCACCCCCCTCCTGAGCACATCCAGAAGGAGAGTCATAAAATCAGAAGCATGCATGCATTTAATGCCTCAGCGGTTACTTGGCTCACTTAGCTGTGATCAGAAATCCTTATGAAATCACCTGAGTTGGAGTTAAAAAGTAATTTCTTGCCAAACAAACAAGTCTCAGGGAGACATTCCCAGGTATAGATGGTGTTCTAGGTAGGACCAAGTCCATGCTGTCCCTTGTTTCTCCAGAGGAGCTCAACGATAAGGGACGATCGGCTGGCAATGTCGTCAGCCAGGCCAGCTGGGATGACACATGGTGCAATGCCTGCCTGATTACTTTGAACCTCCCGACGATGGTACCTTCCATCTGGCCCTCTCCCATGGCTTCACACCCAGTAAGTCTCACAATACTTATTGGAAGAAGAAACACCTTCTCTTTGTCGAAAGTGGTGGAACTGATAACAAGTGGAGTTGCTACAACGTGAAGTTACATTATGTTGTCACTGGTGGGTCTGAAAATAGAACCAGAATGCAGCTTGGGACCATGCCTCCGACAAAATTAAGACATTGTTCTGGATCCAAAATGGCATCCCTTTCATACAAATCCTCTAGCGTCACATGCCTGATGCTGACGTCACATGTAGGGAATTTGTTGCCATAAGTGAAATCCATTAACAGCAGGTTCCGAGTTCGAAACAGGATATAAATTGGATTTAGGTTTTGTCTCCCCACAGGAGCATGGGTACGCTAAGAAACAAATATTTGATTAATAATAAAATAAATAGCATCATGGTTAATATTATTTGAGGATGATATAATGAAACTCTTTAGAAATACAATGGAATTTGATAGCTGGAAAACTTCCCTATAGTTGATACCATCTGTTTCAATATTATGCTGGAAGAGAAATCGAGGGATCATTTTCCTGAACGCTGACAATTACTTAACAGAAGCTTATATTTTTTCCTACATCATGTCATATTGTAATATTACAATATGACCTTCTTCATTTAACAATAAGTTTATGGAGAGATTAAGTGCCCCATTTCGTTGCTAAGGACGTTCTACTACAATGCCCTCTTTTAAGTAGAAGTTGTGACATAGCACATACACGTATGCAGGTGTACATACTTGCACACGTGCCAAAATAAACGGAGAGCCAAGGAAGGTTGTAAAACCCTGATTTAACAAACACGATAAATCACATGCAAGCTTTAATTCAACAACAGCCCTCTAACACATGTTGCATTCCTAGCTACACATTTACATGAACACGTTTGCTTAGTAAATGTCCTTATAAAGACAGAAGATCAACATACAGCTGATGCTGAGGCCTCTCTCATTGTGGGAAGAAGTAAGAGGTATCTATGGATACCTGAACCAATCGAAAAATAATCAGAAAGCCCGCTGACATCCTCAAGAGATGTGTTCATAATAAGATCTTAGATTTCATGTTTAAAATCCATTGAATTTTGGAATAAATTCTATCTAATTAATCATAATGATAACTCAATCCAAATTTTTATTTTTTAAAATAAAAGCCTCGGGATCCCTGGGTGGCGCAGCGGTTTGGCACCTGCCTTTGGCCCAGGGCACGATCCTGGAGACCTGGGATCGAATCCCCCGTCGGGCTCCCGGTGCATTGAGCCTGCTTCTCCCTCTGCCTATGTCTCTGCCTCTCTCTCTCTCTCTCTCTGTGACTATCATAAATAAATTAAAAAAATTAAATTAAATTAAAAAAATAAAAGCCTCATGTTTACAAGAAATTTTTAATTTATATCTTTTTCTCAATGACCTCAAATGACCATAGATAGTTTTCTATTCTAATTTTTTTGTTGGTGTTGGAAGTATGACAAGATAACAAACACTTCCAGATAAAATATAAAGGATAATATTCTGAGGTAGAACAGAAGTAGATTTAAAGATAAAATGGAACAATTGAAATTTTACAACAGAGAAGAGTTTATGCAATACATTTTTTAAAAGATATAAGTATAAAAGACTAATATGAGAGTCATATTTTAAAATACCATTTTTTAATAATGCACTGGAAATTATGTCTTTTGGAAATATTTACATATACAGTGAGGTAAGGTAGGCAAAGTCATTCTGTGTTGCTTGACACTTGGTAGGGCTCAATAACTATAATAATATGGTAACTATAATGATTTTTATTTAGACATTATAGAAATGAAAGCTTTGGCATCTTTGTGAACAGAAATTGAAATGGCTCCAGTCCAAGCGTGGAAACACCTGTATTGAATTAGTTTGTGTCTATACCTTGGCACATAGTAGTTGCTCAGTAAATAGCAATTGAATGAAAAGTGAAATAATTCTTCTCCAATTTTAATTGATTTTTTCCCCAACAGAGACGCTTTCCCTAGTCATCCTTTATTGACCTGTTTTAACCTCCTTTCCCTGCATGATTTTACCCACAGCAGTTAAATCACTTAGCATACCCTGCGCCTTATTTTTGTTGTTTATTGTCTGTTCCTGTACTAGAAAGCTTGTGAAAGCAAACATTTTTGGCAATTTAAAGCAATTAAGAAAGCTTTCTCCACAGAGGTAGAATAATTCCTTCTACTGACTACATGCTCAGTAAGTGTGTAAGTGAATAAACTAAATGAGTGAGGCGGTATATAAGCAAATAATATAACCAACAATAACCCCCCCCCAAAGTGAATATACTAAGTATAAGACATCTGCAAGCTCACTTTTATTCTACCTCGAATATTCTTCTAATTGATGGCTCCTTCTGATATGAAATCCGCTTTGTTTTTCACTTAAAGATACTTCCTGGGCATCTTTGTATGATTGTACACGTACATCGTTAAGCAGTTTACTTGAGCAGGAGATAAGGGATGGGGGCCAGACGACAAAAAGAGCTGATTTTAACTAGGAGTTCATAATATTCTCTTATACCAGGTGAGGGTGTAGGTGCTACGGCACACAGTGTAAGTGGGTAGGTGCGGTTGGGGGGGATAATTTCCTCTGGATACTTTACTCTTAATGATGAGGTGGACGGCAAAACTGCAATTGGGAGTGATGAGAGTGTATGTACTGGATGTTAAAAGAGAAAAGAGAAGGTGCGACAGCATGGCACAGGTCCCCTCAAATCATTAATTTAAGACAAATCAACTCACGAGCATCCCTGTGTTTTTCTCCAGTGATGTTGGCGTGTATGAGTACAGACAGACAGTAGATGGAGTGTTGTTTTTACCTAGGGTCATGTTCAAACTATGAGTTTATAACAAACTGAGACGAGCTAGAGCCCTGAGGATGTGTGCGGGTGAGTGAATATTATTAGAATCATAAAGAAGAGAGTGAGAGCCCCGGGGATGAGAGGACAGTCAAAATATGATGGGGTTGAGGATTGAAAAATCTTGGTCAAGGGTCAGTGGATTGAAAAATCTGGGTCAAGGAGTTGTTGGAGCTTATAGGGAGTGAACTAGAAGGATGGAGGTGATAATCGAAGATTTTAGACAGTGCAGTCAT